AAAGTTTATTTATTAACTTTTAGTATTATTTTCTCTATTGTACTTTTTTATATCATAATTTCAATAATTTTACCTATATATTTCTTGTTTTGACTTTATCATAAACATATATACCTGCATCTATAGTTTTAATCTCAATAAATTTCTTTATGATCTTTGAGTTCAATCTCTATAACTTGAAAAATAGTTACATCTGAGTGCTTTTATTATCTTTTTAAACTTTCAGCTAATTCAATGTGTCTGTTAGTATATTCTGATATTTAGACTAATATCAAATTAAAAAGTAGAATCAGAAGAAAAACTTTACTCAGTGCATTTATTAAGCATTGAGATTTTTAATTATTATAAAGTACTTAAGAGCTCAATAATTAGTTAAAATTTTGAATTTCTTTATTCTTTGAAGATTTTTCAGCTCAGTATATTATTCTGTTAATGCTTTCACAATTACTAATATATTATTATTATAAATTTTATAGTTTTTCTTTACTTCAATTATTGAAACTGAGTAAAAGATAACTGAATGTTACTGCTCATTTTTATATAATTAAGATAGAACATCAGCTATAACATCATCTGAAGTATTCATTTTCATCTGAATCTCTCAATTTAAATTATAATAACAGAGTACTGAGACTTCAGATAAAGCCTTCTTCATTTGATCAAAGATATACTGATAGATCTTATTTGATTCAAAAGATTAATTCTTTCAGATGAGTTTAAATAGTAAATTTATAATTTGACTGTATTCTTTGATAAAATATTGATAAAAGTTGTAGAATTTCAAGAAGAATTAAATTCTTTTAACTGAACTAGACACAGCTCATTATAATATTACTGTAATCTTTTTTAGATTCACTTTAATTTTTTAATCAGTGATAATAAAACTCAAGTACTTTATCTATTGAATATGAAACTTGTATTTTGAGATGCTTGTCTGTAGTTCAGCTTCTCACAATCTAGTCAATATCTTCTTGATATACTTCTAGTATTCTTTTAAGATTTTACTATAGATAAATACATTATTTATAAAAGCAGTTATAAATTGATTCAAGTTGTTAAAGAAAATAGTATTTATAAAATATTAAAAAATTGCTAAGTAATTGCTTAAATCAAAGAGTATGATTTTATACTTATAGATTTCATAATGTGTTTTAAAAGTAATTAGATCTTCAGTCTTATAGTATATGCATATTCAATGAAAGCTTTGATAAATATTTAATTTGATAAATAATTTAGTCTCATTTAATCACTTCATGAGCTTATCAATTAGAAGAATTAAATATCAATTTTTTTTTTAAGATTGTGATAAGTTAATAATAATTTACACAGAATCTCAGCTTGCTTACTATATGAACTATAAGAATTAAAAATATAAATAAAAAAATCACTGATAAAATAAAACTCTTTTTTAAATTAATTTTAAAATACTATTTAATCATCTTAAACTTTTCTATGTTTATTTAGTATAATGATACATGATTAATAGCTTTATTTAAATCAACTTCTTTCTTAAACTCAATTTTATAGTTTATTTTCTTTTGAAAAAGTGATAATTAATCAGAGACAGTTTTTGAAAAAATATCACAGAATTTCTTATAGTTCTTTGACAGTTGTTCATTAATTATCTCTTTATTTTTCAGTTATACATTAATAATAATCTTTTTTTTCTTAATGATTTTATCTATTTCATAGAGACTTGAAGTAAAGATCTTTAATTTCTTATTTCTCTTATGATAATAAAAAATTACAGTCTCAATAAATATCATTTTTTACTACTTATTTAATTCATTTCTTCATTAAGTTCTCACAGATCTTTTAGTAATATTCTATTTAAATTTTATATTAATAAGTCTATCATGATGATCTGTATTTTGTTAATACTCTGACTTTACTACTGATCTCTTCAGATTCTTTTTTGAAATTATTATATTATATTCTTCTGATATTCTATTCTCAATTATCTGTATGCTTAGTTAAATTAGATGTTGATTTTTTATATCTAGTTAGATTTTCTACTTTATCAGTCAAAATCATTCTAGAATTATATCAATGCTTTTCAGATTCATCATTAATATCAATATGTTGAGAAATCTTTTTTCATCTACTTATAAATGCAGAGAAATGATTTCTGTAATTGAAGTTTCTCTCTGATTATTGAATTTTATAATTTGATAATCTTCTATCAGTTTCTTAGAGTTTAATTCTAAAACTTTAATATATATGTATGCAAAGCTTGCATTAATAAGAATATAGCAATTCGCTTCAGAATCTACTAGTAGTTTTATAGAAATAGTATATTCATTAAAACTACTTTAATATATATAATAAAAGAATTTTTACTCATCAACTAATTTATATTCAAAGTTTCTAATGTAATTATTTTATCTGAGAAGAAGACTTCTCTTAAACTTAATCTTTTTTTAACTTAATAATAGCAGTCTTAGTATTCATTTCATTCAGTTTTATCTCTTACTTATATAAACAATTTCACACTATATGATCTTTACTTTGACAATTAAAATATTTTATATTTTTTTTTAATTCTTATTTTTCAGTCTATTCTCAGTTATATATACTAGTATAATTGAAGTCAATTTATAATTTCAAGTTAGAGAAGTTCTCTCATAGCTGTTTTGAGTTGTAAAAATTTCTTCATAATTGAGCAGTCATTAGTTGTTTTGACTATATATATTTTTAAGATAGTGAGCAGTTCTAGTGTAGATTTTTTAAATCTCATAAAAGATATTGCAATTAATACAGACTATTACAATTATACATTGAAGATCAAAGAAAATTTTATAAAAAAAATTTGCTTTATAATCTTTTTTATAAATTTGAGCTTCACTAGTCAGATGCAAAAACTTGGTTATAAATATATAATACTTATCTTCATTTCTTATTATTAATCATAAGTATTTTATCTTTATATTTTCAAGTTTATTAACATTCTCATATATTTTTTGTAGATATTTAAACACTTTTTCAGTTGTTTTAAATTTCTCAGAATAATTTTTCTTTATTTTTGAAGCTAAGTATCTGACAGTTTCATCGTCAGTTTGATTTTCAATATAGATAATACAGTTTTCTTCAGTTGAAAAGTGATTTACATTGACAGCTAGTTTGTATTTTATTCAGAAAAGTTAATTTTTAAATATCAGTTCTTTCTCATTGATAAGATGCTTAGAGTTATTGAGTTTGACTAATCATTATATCTATTGAATGTTCATTAGTCTGATTTGAAAGACTAAAGAGTTCACTGTATAATATAAAATATTTTATTTCTCTATCAAGTTATTCACTTATTGATCAAGTTCATTTACTTGCTTTATCTACCTGTTTTATTCTACTTTAATTTTTTCTAGAATATTTCTTATCTCATTTATGAGACTAGTAATCTTTTAATATACTCAATATAAATTCTTTTCAATTATCTCAAGAAATTGTTTCTTTAATATAAAATTTCTTGACTTTATATTTCTTTTACTCAGAGTCATTATATTTCAATCTAATCTTCATAGACTGTTAAACTCTTTAACTATTTCTAACATATTAGTAATCTTTTCAGAGATTTAAAAACACAAATAAATAAGAATTTTTATAGATTTTTTATCTAAAAATCTACTTTAAAAAAATAAAAAAAGTATTTAATCTTAATATTATATCATAGCTTCAATATAAACACAAATAAACAAATATTTAATTGTCAACTAAATAAACTATCTAAGCAAATACTAAGATAATTTCTAAAAGATAAGTTTAGAAAAAACTCTGTTTATATAACTTTTATTCTTAGTGCAGTTACTAGATAATTATAGTATTTATATGTTATTTGTATGTACAATATTTATAAGATTGATTACTATATCATTGTTTAGACAGTTGCAATTACTGATCACCTCAGTCTGTATGATAACTGATCATTTCAGTCTGTAATAATTACACTATTAAGAAGATTGAATATAAGTCTGTTCTATATTATCACATATATCAATTTATTTTTTTTATTCTTTATAGTCTGCAATAATTACTTGCTTTTCTCTTTTAAAGCAAGTATATAGAAAAATAATTAAAAAGAAAATAAAATTTAATATTAATTATATTAATAAGAATAAATTCTTGATTATTTACTCTTATATTTATATAGTAACTTTGAATAAAAGAATATTCAGAGTGATTTTGAAGCTATAGAATTGATGTTATATAATTCATAATAAGTTCTATATATCTCAATATTTAGATGTATACTTCTACTTTTTCAAGAACATTTCACAGTTTTCAAGTCTTCTGTATCACTATCATATCTCATACTGTATAACAACTGAAGCTTCAGAGTGAGAAGATCAAGAAATATCTCAAGCATCATACAAAGTCTACTTAGTCCTACCAATCAAGCTCTAGATGAGCTAGTTAATATATGTTAGATTATCATGCATGATGCTGTCATTCTGACTAGAGAAAATGAGAAGCTAAAGACTGCAAATGCTAAACAAAAGAGGAAGTGTGAAAAATAATATACATACATAAGTCAGAGAGAGGGTTTTGACCATTCAATAAGAGGTAAATTGCATACAAAGAGGTAACTAATGAAATGTAAAGAGAGATGATAGAGCAGTCTGATGAGCAATCAATCACAAAAGCAAGCAGCACCACAGTGCAGTGGATGTGGTATTGTAGGACATACTATTCATACATGCTCCCAGCATACAGGGAATAATTTATAATGTAATTGGGTGAGGTAACTAGCTATATAGCTGTTACTTAATTTACTTTGGAATCCCAGTTGTTGTGGCAAATTGATCAACTAGGTGGTTCGATCGACCAGGTGGATTACGTTAGTTAACTTGAACAACAGATCTATTTGGATATCAACATGCAGATGAACATAAACTTTGTCTCTTTGTCAATGATTAATCAATTCATTATGACCCATTACCAGATTTCAAGTCATTCAAGTGTTTAGAAACATCCCTCTTATTTATTCTTGTGAAGATTTTCCAGTAATGTCATCCATGTCTCCCTCCACAGCGCTGGCCGCTCTTCACCAAATCGGCCCTGACACGCGTCTCTCAATTCTTAAAATCAGCGAACCTATCTCTTCTACAATAGATTCAGCCATCTCGTCCCAGTCGCCGTCAAAGCGTCGTTCTGATGTATCTACGGATGCCTTTGATAACCCCACGCCCGCGTCATTGGAAGCGGATTTAACCCACTACAAAGTAAGTACCTGGGCACCATACTCCGTGACCAGTTCTAGCTTGCGTCAGAAAGATTTGCGATCTGACAGCATATTATTATATCCTGCGGGACAGGAACTATTCTCAAAACTCCGCTTCTCGTACATCGAACAAGTCACGAAGGAGAAATTCCTGCGCGCAATTGTCGGTGACCCGCCTCTTGTTGTTGGACATCATGAAAATGTCGAACTCGAGGCGGAATTGGCGGAGGTGAAGGAGGAGCTGCGCAGGCGTAAGGAGGATGTCAGACTTATGATTGAAGAGATGGAGAGAATGGGGAGGGCACTTGCGACGCGTAAGACTATATTAATATCCATCCCCCCTCTCCCCCAAATAGCCCCTATGTGCTGATGTTATTTTTACTTTCTTTGAAGGGTACAAGAAAATTCAGCTCCAAACAGCACAACTATCTGATCTCCCCGCATCGATAGAAAGCCTTGAATCTACGATATCCACACTACGCGCGGCTGCATCGCAAGAGCCCTCTGCCTATCAATCAGATTCTACACTGCCCTCTTCCCAAACGCTGTCATTGCCAGCCACACTTGCGCTTCTGGCGGAGCGGGAGGCAGAATTGGCTGGCCTCGACCGTCAAATTACCTCCGTGAATTCGTCGCTGCCGCGTAGTATTAGGGAAGCTGAAGCCGTGGAGCGCGAATTGGCAAGATTGGAGAAGAAGAAGATTGAGGCTGTCGCACAGGCTAAGGAGGCGCAGAGAAGGAAACATGAAGGGGAGAGCGATGGACTAGAGGAGATGGGAAGGTGGTATAGAGGTGTAGAGAAAGGGTTGAAGGATTTGGTTGGAGTTAAGGGATCATGAGGGTTTATTTTTTGGTTACAGTGGATGGCCTTTTGTAAGGAGTTTTGGGTTGACTACTTGTGGGATTACCGCTCAGGAGGCGCTTTACGGATGGAAGCGGGGGATACCATGGAGGAATGTTCAGTACTATACGGAAATGATTTATGGTTTTCATTTCGTAAAATCCTCTCACGTTATTTTGTAATTTTGCTTGATACATCAAGGTATGCCAGCTAGCAATAAGTGCCTCACCCATGGCTCCTTCATCGCCAATTCTGTGCACAGATCTACTCTTCGTCCTCTTCCTCCTCGTCCTCACCACCTTTCTCAGCAGCCTTACTTTTCTTTCTCCGGACACGACCAGGGCGTCCTCCACCAAAGGGAGAGGTAAGGGCAAAGTCGATATGTTTCTGGGAGTCAAGACGGACAACGAAAGAGGGAACGTTGACAATTTGCTTTCCAACACTAGTAACGAAATTTGTTAGAAACTAGTTAACTAAGCTCTACAATGTAATTCAGAAAATATACGTACCGGATATGTCGCTGCTTGATGAGGACACGGGCGTGGTGAATGGACTTGGCCAAACCGAGCTGGTAAACCTGGGTCTGGAGACGGCGTTCCAAGAAGTCTTCGACCGTAAGGGCCAAGACGTAATCGAGCTTCATACGGGATTCGTCGAGCACACCGACACGGACAAGACGGCGAATCAAGGCATTACCCTCAAAAAGGCGCTTCGGGTCTTTTTCATCAAGGGTGAGGAGCTCACTATAAAACACAGCACGTATTAATGAAAGGCCCAAGCAATTTGAATTGTACAACAGAAAATCCGTTCGTACCGAGCAGCACGTCGAATCTTGGACAAGGTAAGCTGGACACGCCAGACTTCACGCTTGTTGCGGAGACCATATGTGCCGACAATTTTCAACTCCGAGTCACTATTCGAGGTATCAAGTTAGGAGATCTGACACAACGACATAAGCAGAGACAAGCTACTGCTCAGTGGCCGGAGGATACTAACAGACGAGCCGAGCCGTATGCTAAAACAAGGAAAACGCAATTGTCAGAATGTTGATATTTTGGTATGGTTTCTTTTGATTTCTTTTCCAGTGTTTCAGGGCAAATTGGTACTTACGACGACGAGGGACCTTATAGGTCTTGGAATAGGAGCGCCTGGAAACGCCGCATACACAATTAGAATCACCGGTTATCCAGCAAGAGAGAAAGAAATACATCAAAACTTACGGGGCCATGGATGAGAATACGGCAGCGCAATCCGGAGGGTCGAGGGTTGCTGGGAGAGGAGTTGTCGCTGTTATTGTCAAGGTCGAAATAATTAAAATGGCTTTAATTTGGGCGGTTGATGAGGCTCGCTTAGGTCATCGTGGGCTATTTCCCGTTTGGGCCAGAATTAGGGCTGAACCCGCACAACGAACCGCCTAAGCGAAAACCCAACGACGAACAGCTTTTCCTCACGCTGGGTCAGTATAAGGATAGACCGCTGAGTTATAACATCCTCGACGTCGACAATCACCCTCTGACTACCACACAGACGCCCAAGATGGGTCACTCACACGGTCTGAGATCCGGCACCCGGGTTCGTTTTGCCCTATTAATCCCTTGCGATTGAAGCCCGACTAATCCAGAAGTGATATCTCTGTAGTATGCCTTCTCCCGCGACTACAAGAAGAAGGGTGTTATTCCTCTCTCCACTTTTTTGAGAGTCTACCGGTACGTAAATGCACACTCTGGCTATTAGGATGGAGGGTATTAAGGACAGCAGAGAAGTGGGAGTTAACGAGGGTATATAATATAGGGTTGGCGACATCGTGGATATCAAAGTCAATGGCGCAGTTCAACAGGGGTCAGTAAGAACTATTTCCTAAGTTGAGGGGAGCAAGATCTATGCGAAATTGATTAACGATGAAACATCCAAACTGCCCCAAAGCTGGATGAAACGCTGAGATGTGATATGATAGTATGCCATTCAAGATCTACCACGGCAAAACTGGTGTTGTGTACAACGTGACCAAGTCCGCTGTCGGCGTCATCATCTACAAGCGCGTCGGAAACAGATATATCGAGAAGCGCGTCAACGTCCGTATCGAGCACGTCTCCCACTCCCGATCCAGAGAAGAGTTCCTCCGCCGTGTCAAGGAGAACGCCGTCAAGAAACGGAAGGCTAAGGAGGAGGGTATCCATGTTCATTTGAAGAGACAGCCAGTCGGGCCCCGGGAAGCGAGAACGGTTAGCACGGAAGGAAACCTCCCAGAGACGATCACACCTGTGCCATACGAGACGACTATTTAAAGAAACTAAAAATATTGTATCGGGTTTGGGGTTTGATTTCTATTTTTCCCTTAACGATTTCTGAATGCCACGGTGAAATACTATCTGTATTGCACTGGGCGACGTAGCAGAGCACAGGCTCTGTGCTTTGTGTCAGTGTAGCATAAATTCCCGGCAATGAGGAAATTAATTTCTTTTCAACCAATGGAAAGTCATTTCAGTTTGTTCATATTCACTTTAGCCGAGGATGTGCCCACTTCACTATGGAGGCATCATTCTCAGTCGCAGATTGGAAAGGATGACAGGTTTTGGGGCCAACAAATACATCCGGAAAAAATATGATCTCGTGCCTGGCTCGTCGAGTTCAAGGCTGCGCCGTCATTGATTCGACTGCACGATAAGAGAGGAATCGTATTCCAGCCAAATGTGAATAGCTTATTCAAGTCGTTCACGTTGATAATAGTCAACCCAGATTTAACATTGCAATCGTAGAGAAGGAATCACCACACCATAATGTAAGTTGAGGACCGTTGGAGATGGGGATTTAATTGGCCGCCAGGTGAACAGGAATCCACTGACACAACTTCGTGATCTTTCCATTGAAACGGTCCAACCATCCATTACTAAGGTATCCAACGGGTGCCTGGACCGGGTACTTTAATATCACGTGGTTCACTCTCCAAACAAACCAAAAGGAAAAGGGAAAAAAAAAAAAAAAAAGAAAAATTGTAATGCTAAAAACTTCCAAAGGTTTTGGGTATGGGCAAACCGCAAAATAACTCTTGTACTTCGAACGATGATAATTCCTCAGATCGTGTTTTTAATATCCTCTCTACCTACCTGCGTCATTTATTTAATGGCGTAGTTCTGAACGTGAGATCCTTGCTTGCGTACTTATATTTCTTCATCATACCATGACTTTCTCTCCGCATTCTCACGACGCTGCCAGGCGCAATCCCCTTGGAAATGGAAAACCAGGTTCGCGAACGTCTTTCTTGCTAGACAATGCGGAAACTGATGATGTGGAAGTTGCTCCTCAACACACAGAGAAGGCTGATGCAAAATCATGGGCTCACTTCGTCGCCGGAGGGTTCGTACTATGCATATGCTCTTACTCCCGGTTGCGTCTACAAGCTGTCAGGTTATCCAGTGACAACAATACAACATTACTAACTCAGCCTGAAACAGCGTTGGTGGAATGACCGCAGCAACTCTTACCTGTCCCCTCGATGTTCTAAAAACCCGTCTTCAGTCCGACTTCTACCAATCTCAACTTCGGGCACTGCGCCAGGCGCATCCGTTTCCGCAGTCAACATCCATCCTAACCCTTCCGCGAAGCGCCATGCTCCATTTCACCGAAACCTTTCAGATGCTCAGATCGATACATGTTCATGAAGGCTGGAGAGGTCTGTTCAAAGGCCTGGGTCCTAATCTAATAGGCGTCGTTCCAGCAAGGGCTATCAACTTCTACGCCTACGGAAACGGAAAGCGTTTACTGAGCGAGTATTTGGGATATGACACCGCCACTTCGCCAGTAGGGGTTCATTTGAGCGCTGCGGCCATGGCTGGCATTGCGACGGGGACCGCCACAAATCCCATCTGGCTAGTGAAGACTCGCCTGCAACTTGACAAATCGACTGCTTCGAATCTCCCTGGTCGAGGTCGCCAATATAAAAACAGTTGGGACTGCATTAGGCAGACCGTGCGCCATGAGGGAATTCGCGGGTTCTATCGGGGGTTGTCCGCATCATATCTTGGAGTCACAGAAAGCACACTTCAGTGGGTATTGTATGAGCAGATGAAACGGGTGCTGGCAGAGACCGAGGGGCGCCTTCATGCGGATTCAAACTACGTCTCCAATTCGGTTGATAACGCCATGCTCTGGGGAGGAAAAGTTGTTGCTGCAGGACTTGCCAAGTTCATTGCTGCTAGTGTCACGTACCCCCATGAAGTTGTGCGCACAAGGTTGCGGTTGGCACCCACGGTGTCAGTTTCCGGTGGCAAGCCGCAAATGAAATATTCCGGTCTACTTCAATGTTTCCGACTAGTGTTTAAGGAAGAAGGAATGGCTGGCCTCTATGGGGGTCTAACTCCTCACCTCCTCAGAGTTGTGCCAAGCGCTGCTATCATGTTTGGAATGTGAGTGACAATAACACTCCCACCAACTACTCGCGTTTCTCAAGTCTTTTGATTCTCTCCTGTTTCTCCCCATACCATGTAGGTTCCTGACATCCCATCCAGGTACGAAATGATTCTCCGACTCTGTGGCGCGACAGCGTAGTCGGACTCCCTGTCTATAGTTGACTCTTCTTACCCGATTAACATCATCTTTCCACTGAAACATCGTCCTTATTACATAACAGAAGTCAGCATACAATTCCTGACTTGTACGGCCTTTGACTAACTATCCATCCTCACTTAAACGTTTACGGTTTTTCCAAGGCGCTCAGTGTTATCATAGATATACGAGGAATCCACCATGCATTCCTTTTTTCCACTCGGGATTTTAGATATACAAAAAAGGGTACTCGCGCTTATCCTTCCTCTCGTTTTCCTTTTCGCACACGCTGTGCTGTATTTTGGGTAGTTTCCCCTTCTTTCCTTGAGCAAACAGGGATTTAGAACACGGTTTTAGATCTGATGCATTATTTACGGGAACAAGTGAAAAATGGCGTTTTTGGAGAGCCCTGGGATATTGTCGCATGCGTTGCCTATTTTGACTTTCCTCATCCTTAAGTTGGACATTCAAGTCAGTTGGGATGATGGATTTTTATTTTTTGTTGCTTCCTTGTGAATTGTTCCTTTTTCCCCTCCCAAGCACTTATTGGTGACATCTCTACCTGTGAAGCTCTTCTGTATACTATTGTGCATATCATTTCATGCAAGTTTTTTTTTACTTTTCTCGCACGTTATTTATATCATTTTACTTTTATGCCATTCCGTCATGAGCATTGACCTCGAACTGATACTCCGAACTTAACCAGGTACCTAATTTGAAGATTTGCCATGCTTTGAGCCTTGTAGAATTTTCTGCATGCCATGCTTATCGCAAAATGTTTATGGTACAGCGATTAGCTATTAATGACATTGTTGGGTCTGTCAAGCAGATCAGATTCACCTAATTGGATCAACGAAACGATCCGTTTGATCACTAGTTCCGCCAGATGTCTGTAACCAGCCGTTCGGTTGAGATGGACAAATTTTATTTACAGACCTCGATACGTTTAGAGCGCGGCACTGCACCTGAGTATCTCTTCATAACCAACTCTTTGTCTATCCTAGCAAACTCAGGCCACGTCATATCCTAAGAAAGCCTTTGCGACGGAAGTACTATCAACCTTTCCCCGTGAAAAACACCCTGACCCCCCCCCCCCCCCCCCCCCCCCACCCAAGTTAATCAGCTCCTGGACAGCACCCAGCATACACGTAGAGAGCCTCACTATGATACCGGCAAGTCATATTAGCCACATCTTCAGCTCCTTGCGTAAATCCATCGTCAACCTATGGCATTGTTCCTAGAGGTGCGGACACCTCTTCCGACTCCTTGCCTCTGGGTTCTTTGGACTCCAACAAGGCGGAGACGTACATACATACGTACCTTGAACGGTGGGTGAAGGGATCTTGCACGCATGGCACCTCACCGCAGTACCGGGACCTGCTCCGAAATGGAAGGATTGTGGATGAAGAAACCAGAATTTCAAACCCTACGAACTGGTAATCTTATTTTCATCTGTTCATGGCGACGTTCGTCGCCCTTTTCAGGCTCCTTAACTAGTTTTCTAATTGGTTCATTCGAGGGAAAGACCAGGATAAACTTTCGTCCCAATAGATTTAAATCATCCCCACGCATTAATTATTTCAGGGTGTCAGTTGGAGGGTGTTATCCGCACCAACTCTCAAGCTACTCTCCTATGAAACGAAAATTGAAACGCAAGGGATAAACATGACCAAGGCCCCATTTTTAAAAATTTGGAAATTGTTAAGTTCAGTTTCAACACAATTGTCACGCGCACTCGTTATCGTTGCATTCTTTTGATCTCGACTCCTGGGGCGGCAGGAAGTCGGGTTTTCCATCCGGGCGGCTGAATCAGGGCCGGGTTCCCAGCCAAAATGCCACGACGGGTTTCACTACCGGCAGCCCGATTCACCAATTCAGCCCCGATGTGAGTTTAACGGTTGTTGATTATTTGCAGGCCTGGGAGCCAATTGGGAGAGCTGGAGAGGGATTCCGTTAAGTGAAGATCATTTGGCACCCAAACAACTGTCAACGAGGAGCTTGTTAAGGTTACGGGGAAGCGGATCCGGCCAAGCTAGTTAAGACCCAAGGGATGGGGGTCCCTGCCATCAGAGATTCTTGGTTAAGTCAGTTGTCGATGTGCCCTGTCCCTTAGGCCCTCGTAAGCCTGACCTGAACACATTTATTTAGCACCCTAAGCAGGTTTGGGCTTAATGACCCCTATGTGGGTTTTCATTTTAGTGACTTGTGGGAACGCAGGTTGAACATCTAACGTGTATTGTGTGTTCCTGCCGCAATCCTCGCATGTCCTTACACAGTATGCGGCACGATGTCGATGTGGACGAGTTCCGAATAAAATTTACATGTAACTCTATGTACTGTACATTGATAACTCCGTTCCCAGTGGAAAGCCTCCCGCATTTTTTTTTTTTTTTTTTTGTTGTTGTTGTTGTTTAATGAACTGAACTCTAACACTATAACTACGATAGGTATTCTCTAAAAGATTGCCTTTCCTCCCAAGACAGCCCGTGCAGGCATTGCATTTTTTTTTATAGGGGCGGTTTTAAGAAAGTTTGAAAGCCCAGGTCAAGACGACTTTACATGTTGCACAAAATTTTAGGTTTGCTCCAGATGGTCGCCGTGCAGAGATAAATGAGGCATTGATTGATGGATTGAGGATGTAACGCGTCATGAGGAAAATTAATTATTGGTGTTGATGGTTTAAAACTCTCATTTCCCTTTCTTGCTGCATCAGGAGGCAGCAATTCTGTGGCTGGATAAGATTTGACTGTAGACCGGTTCACGTTGAGGCGTAAAGTGGATGAGACCTCTGACAGTGCAGCTGTTCGGCCACCAGAATCAGTTTCCGGTAGTTCGCTCACTAGTCCAACGCTCGGCGGTGAGAATTTTTGTTGTTTCATGTTATTTCCAAGCAGAGCGCGAAAAGCGTCAACCAATAAAACACCCACACAAAGAAAACCTCCAGGAGGAACCAACACTGGAGCACGAACGGAAGTAGTAACTATGAAATGAACGTTTATAAATATTTAATGCCACCCTTTCTGGCGCAGCGCTTGACCGGCAGAAGCGCAATTTAGTGAGCGGCGAAAAACGATTTAGCGTCCAATGACACTCCCTCCTTCATAATAGTATTATGGTTTGGATTTCTGGAAGGGTTGAGGTTTAATCTTTCCCCGGTTTTGTGGGCCAGTACCTGGCAAGACCAGCAGCAGCGCGGCATGCCAACTTGAGAACTGACAAATCATAAGTGAAGGATGCGGTAATCCGATATAGAAAACCTGATGAGGCTATGCGTTCATGAACAATTCATGCCCACGACTTTCAGTTTATTTTAGCGGCTTTTTGTTATTCTTCTCATTTTCACAGATGTAACTACATTATACACTTAACTACAGAAGGAACTTACGTAGTTAACTAGTTAGATAACGTAATTCCCATCCGAGTTGGACATTTAATTCAGCATATACAGAATATCTAGATTTTAATTGTAATTATTAACAACGGAAAAAGAAAGAAAATTTCATTTAAAATTAAAATATACTAGGATTTGGACATTTTCTTCTTGTATGTTAATAGTTCTGCAGTTCCTACATTTCTATGAAGTACACAATTGTGATTATGTCGTGTCCAACTCAGTTGGGAATTACGTCTCCGTATCTACTAACTAACTAGGTAACTAAAACCAAATGTTGCATTTTATTTTGCTATATCAAAATAAATTGTCGGGGAATCGGGGACAGAATTGATAGGGCCTAGGGAAAGCCAAATACGTTAATAGCATTATTTGGCTGGTTGAAATACCTGGTTTCTCCAAGTTGAATGCATTGAATGCTCAGATGAGCTTGGATTTGTTTACCAATCAAAGCGTTTGTCGTCGATGTAAGAATAAGCTCGGAAGCTTAAAGTTAAACTCCCGCCAATGATGTCATTTTCACTGGATCCTGCTTATCTGATTGGTGGTTTAGAGTCCCAGGGATTGGAACCTGATTGGTCCATCCACGGAAGCCCCATGTCCCGGAGAGAGCACCCCGCAACCCGTGGGCGGTGTTAAAACGCCTTATATGAGGAAACAATGCACCACCCTTTAGCCGTAGATGATAACCCGAGGAAGAATGAAACTTCCCATTCCTTTCCTGTCTCAATATGCACGTACCATGCATTCTCTGACAAAGTGCAGCGTCCTGTCTTACCTTTCAAACTAGAGTGAAGGATATGATAACTGTATATGCTGAAATTTTCCAAACCAAGATAGAGACTGAAATATAAAATGACATGAAAAGAAAGAAGAACCTTAGCCGTTGGCAGAAGCCTCTTATTTTCCTCTGCGGAATTGGAATGCAATGAGCAGAGAAGACATGCTGTATTCCAGCAAACCAAACACCAAAGTAAAGCTCTATTTCACTTTAGCACCTCCCGAAGAGATTTTAAAAAGTAGAAATGGAAAGGAAATTGGTCCCGTGGCCTGCAAAACATATCCTTGCGAATATCATGAGTAACTCTTTAGACAGGTAGCAGGGCTCGTATTTCGCCTTTAAGGCCAGGCGGTAGCCGCCTGAGGCGTCAATCCCAAAAGCCAAGCTCCAGTTTTCGGTGGTCATTGGGATGCGTCTCCCGAAACAGGTGCCTTTGCTTGGATTGTTCAGTCCTACAAGGTCGTATTTGGGAATACTGGGGCCAATGGGGACATTGACCGGTGACTAAATGTAAATGACTATATGCGTATGCATATGTATAATTCATGCATGTGTTGCGGAGGCATATCTCGCTGACGATGTAGCAGCTTCATCGCTACACTCTGCAGACACGATTCTTGAACTGGTCCACAAACCGCAAATTAGGTATACTTGGTCTTTATGGATATCCCTGCCCTTGACCTTTGTTGAAAACTTAAAAAGGAAAAAGAAAATATGGTTTGTCTGACCGATTTCTGTGCTACCTCCAGATTTGATGCGTATATTTAGTTAAGACCGGTCGTTTCGACGCCAACTGTCGTTATTAGTAAATTCGTACAAAACTTGGAAAACACGTTTGTGGAGTAGCTAGCTCCTACGTATGTGGATTTTGTTTTTTAAAAAGAAGTTAAAATAAAAATAAAAATAAAGGTCTTTTTTTATGAGGAACCCAGAGACTGTCCTGCCACCTGCATCTGCATAACTTGCACATTCAGCCTGTAACTACTGTTTGATGCCCGTACTTCTCAACCACCTGGTACACTGGCAAATACATACTGACTGTACAGGTACATACATACATTTGCAGCACACCAAAAGTAGATAGAAAGAATCGAATATAAATTGACAGCTTGTCCGCGAGTTCTTGCCGACATTCTCTCCTGCAGCAGTATTGTTTCTCCCCGAAGCCTCTATTAGAGAGAGACATAAAATTCGAAGAGTCTTATCCCTATGCCTCCTCTGCTAAACCAACAATTTCATCCAAACACACTACTTGCGAATGCGGGACCCTTCAATAGACTCCCACCATTTCTACAACTTATAGTTACTGAACATTACAAGCTACCTTTTTTTCCTTCGCCATCATTCATCGAGTTTCTCCCTCTCAAATCATCTTAGACATTCTATACTTGTTAAAAAATAGATTTGGTGTATCTCTCTCAACAAATGAGTAAAAGATCTTCATACGCGCCCAACAATAAGAAGGAAGAGAATAGAAGCGCAAAACCACCTTCTCAACAAGTTTTGAAGTAAGATATCTATATTATTTCTTTTCTTTCCTCTTTGTCATATCTGTCTTGATGTCATGTTACTGCGTGCACAATGTACCGTGCATGCATCGAGTCCTTCCAACGCCATTCCAAGTCCCCATCAGCGTCAATCAACGTCAACCCTGTCAAAGATGACGGGCCCCAATTCGTGAAAAGAGAATTTACCAGACCATGTGAGCTCAGATCATTGCAGAAAAGCCCAACGCTAATCACTTTTTGCTACTCTATGTGCTAGCCTCCCTGCTGAAGAAAATCCGCCGCGGTCGTTCATGTTAGACCGATATCTTGACCAAACTCGCAAAGAGGATCATTGGCACGGGCTTCCGTTTCAGAAGCCGGAGAAGTCTTTGACAAAGCTGTAAAATCCCTCCGGTCGACTGGTGGCCCGCTGTCCCACAGCTTTTAGGGAACAAGGCCTTTAAGAGATAATTAATCAAGGTCACCTCTCTCGTTGGCAAGTATCGATAACCCGGTTAGTCAAAGAAATTGGCTAATCGACAACTCTCGATCTTATTATGTTGTGGCTTTATCTTTCTTTCTTCTCTTTTTCTGTTGATAAGCCTATTGGAAAAAATATGGGAGCTCACCTCCGCATCGACTTGTTTTGTTCTATTATATCGGGTTCCAACTTTTATCATCGTCGTCATCCTGTCTTACTGTTTGCGGTTAAAGGTCAGGTTAGTTAGGTTTCACGAAAACTGCACAATCACTGAGGCAAAACCCACACAAAACCTTTCCTTATTTTCGTCTTTGTTTGAGGTGTATTTTCAATCTGATTAACCCTGCTTCTTTTCATCAATTTCGAATGATTTACTTTCTTTGAATCAACATTATCGTGCATAATTACCTCTTATTAAGAGAATGCTTTTCACTCCCTCAGCAAATTGTTCTTTATTTTCACATTTTCCATCAAGGATTACTGCTTCTTTGGCTTAAGATTTTGGCAGCTCGCAAGACGTCTACATTCTACAGTGTTACCGGCAAATTCGCCAAAACCTAAGTTTTATTCTTGAATCTCTTTTTGTTTGCTTCTGGTTTATCAATTACCCGGTAATTAGCTGAGATAAGGAGAATCAGTGAAATTGATTGGTTTTCAAAAGAGCATTCTGATGCATCTTCAGGAAATCTATGAGATGGAGCATTCATGTAAGGGTAGGTTGTTCAACAAAGAAATCTATCGGGAGGAATGATGGATTGCAATTCAACTCGAGTTGTGATAGACAAGCACACTTCTTAGAAGCCCATTCTTACGCTGGAATCTATTCCGTATAATCCAAAATATTACAAGAGCACAACAGCCGCCTGAAGTCCCAACCTAAAACAAACCATTTTCAAGTCATTTCAAATCGCATAAAAACCCCGTTGCGTAGCAAATTGGAGATGAGAGCTTCCAATGTTGGTAAGTTTTGCTTATTTTTCATCCCACGTGGCATCCATGTGGCAGTGGATCAACTGTAACTTACCCAGAATGCAGAGTTGTTAATAACGAATGAAATTTCCGAGTCGACAAGAAGACGGTCTGCTCAGTCTTCTGGTATTTATTTTGCTGATCTCATACAGATATCGCTATCAAAAGTTAGGACATTCCACACGAAAGTATGTACACCAAATCTAGATTGTAACCATGGGAATATTATGTCTGGAATTTTAGATATGAGAAAATGGATTCCTGGGCCTGAACGAAACTAAAAATTTAGGTGAAGTGACCTTAAAGTTTAACTTAAGATTAACTATCAATAGTGAGTTGAATCCTAAGATTTAGTTGAAAAAATACCAAAGCCGGATTTCCATACTCTGCAATTTCGGAAGCGGAGATGAGCATCACGTCTCTAGTGATAAAGACCTGAAGCCCTTCTGAACTACATAGTAGTACTTGACTGTTTCATAGACGTGGGTTGATGAATTTCACCAATAGTTACCTCTATTCGCTGATTGGAAGGGGTGGGGGGAATGAGATGTGGAATCAGCACAACTTTAATTCAGTAGCTCCCGGTCCTTGTTCTTTCTGCTTTTTTGGAAATATTTTATTTTATTGGACTTTTCGATATAGAGTCTGATACAATCAACGCCGTTGTCGTGGTTTGAATTCTGCCTTAGGGAGCATCTCTTTACCGGTAACCAGCCGGTTCTCCCACTCACTTGCGTTTCAGTCCTTCAGCTGCATTGCCTCAAGTTGTCCAATGCACACTTTAGCCTCTCGTCCGTCGTTTCTTTTGCGTTTCATACGTAAATCACCTTTCTACTATTCATAACACCAGCACATACATATCCATGATTCAAGTCCACTTCAAGATTAGCCAAAGTCAAGAAACACGCAATTCACTGGTATATTCCAAGTCGCTGAAAATCTGAGTTATTGAGATATGCAAAAGGAAAAATAAGTGGGCTTTTTGTGCGATAGACGAATATAGAACACATTTAAAAGGGTACGTAAGTCATAACTATTATGAAAGGTATCATCCTCTTCCCAACAACACCTCTTCCCCCTTGCCGTACCAACAAGACCTGCCCTCCCGCCTCATTACTTCCCTTGGTCTTGTCTTGTCGGCTCTCCGGTATCTTCATAGTCTCTGCACATGCTAGCTCTCTGATTCTGCTATTATCAAACTTAGCATGTTGGTTATAATGTCGAATGCCTCATACCATTCCCTATCCAGGTGTAGAAAAGTGTGTGGTCTTTTGGATCTTCCGGTCGCCGCAATATATGATGGATGCATGCGCTCATAGTAAAGGCACTCAGACGAAGGAAAGTTAGAAAGTTGAAATATATATATATTTACACATATAGCAGCCGTTTATTACACAAAAGTGGAGTGCGGGGAATGGACTGCGGGAATGTATCAAGCATCGTCTCTTGGGGGGTTCAAAACTTGATTGACGTTCATGATAGTTTTGTACATTCGTGATATAACTTGAGGGACGGGGTGAATTGACCCAGCCAGGACACAACAATTTGGTTCTTCCAATGGTATATGACTCTCCAGAGGCTCCACTCTAACGACACTTCCCTTTTCCACCTCTGGAGATTTCTTCACAATCGGTGGATTAAGGTTGCTATTAGAATTTAAGCTGGCTTTTGTGTCATTTGCCATTTCATCGCTCCTTTCAACACAGTCAGGTTTTGGCTCAGGCTCAGGCTGAGATGTTTGCATAACGGTATTTGGAGAGCCAACTGTCACCTGATTAACGTTAGAGGCTGTTCTTCCTTCTTGTGAGAAAATTCCTAGCTCGTTCTCTTCGCCTTCTTGCGCCGCCAATTTGATCCTTGGTTTGTAGAGTCAAAACGCTTGCGGGTGTGGCCCATCATTGAGATTGAACAACTCATGATATATTTATTTAGCCTCCAAGAATTCCACGCGGCATAAACAACGCAAGTGTCGTCTTAAGTGTCGTCTTCTTTGAATTCAAGCAACCTTTCGTTTCCAAACCCCTCACTTCCCCGGTTTATTTTTATGCTTCTTCGTCTTCCGCTCTGACTCTGCCACCCCATCCTTTCCTGTGCACTCGTTCTATCGGCCGCAGCAGCATTCCGCCTCACCTTCCAGACCCTCGATTCGCATTCCTTCTTCGGATACAATTCTAGTTTCCGAATATTCGCTGGTACTTCCAGCTTGCCGATGTTTAAAGCATCTAGCAGATGCTTAAAAAAGCACCTTTTCCTCTGGATGGTGGGAGTCCACAATGAGGGAGTTGTGCCTAGTACCAATGTCCAGGCGGCCCATTGTTTCTGTTTTGATTTAGGGGAGGACGGAAAAAGACCTGGAGCTCTGGAAGTGCCGTGTGGCAGTGAGTTTTACAGCTTGCAATGAAGAGATCACCGTTCCAGCAATGAAAATTTTGTCGGGAGACTAGGGGAATGAGTGTCATGGCTGGCCGGCCAATTGATCCTGTGCGATACAGAGTGCATTGCCAGATGAGAGGTAGTGTCAGTATTTTGAAATGCCAAAGGCGGGGGTAGTTGGGTTGGAGGGATAACAACATGGTGAACCAGTGTTGAGCTGTGGTGACTTCGAAGGAGCGGTCAGCTCAGGAGCTGACGAGCAACTGGCATGATGTGATATCATATTAGGACCAACATATCACTTCGATGAGAGTAATGGTTGGAGGAGCGATTGGGACTCCAAATCAACTGGAAACAAGCATTCAAGGGGACAGAAGTATTCTAGAAGGATTAATCATTCTATGAATAAGTTTTAATATTCCATTGTTATGAAGGAGTCTAAATACGTACTTGTAAATATATAAGGGACATCTACCTTGCCCATTAATTGACCGTAGGCCTCCCGATAAATTCATGCCCCTGTCCGTTTCTTGGTTTCTTGGTTGAACTTCCCGGGTATGCCCATTGAAAAACACTACCCACAATAATTAAGACGTAACTCGTAATTCGTTGCTGACTTCATAACATCCAGAGAAAAGAAGACAACCCAAAAGCAAAGATTTAACATGGATAGGAACAGATGTTCACATGGATATACAAAAAATGAAAAGAAGTCAAACAACCAATTCTCAATTCATTTTAATTCACCCGCCCACCTCATAGAAAAAGAGCCTGGTATTAGCCGGATTGAACCCCAAACTAAGGAGGAAAGAAAAGCAAAAGATGGGGCAACGAGCAGGTCATAGGAAAAAAAGAACAAAGAAAAGAAAAAGGAAAAAAGCTGAATAGCTGATTGCAATACGTGGTGATGTCACAATCATGGGAATATTTCTCGAATTTAAGTTGGGATTGCGTTGAGTAGTGCCACATTACTGCCAACCTAATATTTAGGAGCAGGACACCTTTCTTCACAAAAATTACTGAAAAAATAAGAAAACAGTTGTGGAATTGTAAAAGGTGGATATGGCACGCGCAGAGAACAGGAGAAGGGACGTGAATGTTCGAATCAACTGGCCAGTATACAAACCCCATATGTGATATGAGAACTGAGGATAGGAGGGAGGAACAGTTCGCCCATACAAAAAGCAAAAAGAAGATGTTATCTGAATTTTCCCTTAATACAACCTAGAATAGAAGCAAAGGAAATCAACTGACAAAACGAAGGCAAGAATATATAAGGAAAACTGTAGCTTAAGAACAATTTCGGTGGGCTCAGAAAAGGTACGAGGAAGTATATTCGGTCAGAGTCGAAGAGCAGACGTTTTCGGTCGGAAAAGACAGAAAGAAGAGGGTGTAGTTTCTTGGTTGCTTTTGTTTACTCCTGGCGCGTCCGTTTGGCGCCATGTGGGTTCCAAGAGCCGTCATTGCCGCCATGGTGCTGGCCGAAGAAAGCAGGATTGAAATGAGGGTTCTGGGTTTGGTAACCGCCTTGTCCTTGGTTAATAGGTAGCTGTTAGCGAATTCTATACCAACATACTGAGCATCGATGTATGATTGGTAGGGGATTAGGGAGCTGTCTAACGGTTATGTCATGTCCTACCTTGCATTCCCATATTGCCTGCCATGCCTCCCATCATCCCGCCCATCTGGTTGGGCATACCTCCCATCGGCATGCCACCCATGCCCATACCCATGCCGCCCACATTGGCTACGCCACCAACTGACATCATGGGATTAGGGGCGGGACCACCCATACCACGGCCTCCCCGCATGCCACCAGGACCACCTCGCATACTTCCCATCATAGCTCCACGGCTGTTAAATCCACCGTAGGGCTGCATGCCACCAACAGGAGCCGCTTGGAACCCACCACCCATACCACCACTTTGGAAGTTACCGCCTCCAATTGGCGATGCGAAGTTACGATTGGAGTTAAATCCACCAGATATTGCGCCGCGATTATATCCACCGCCACGACCACCGCGATAACCACCACCAGTGTTCATACCAAAACCTGGGCTTTGAGTCTGAGGGGCATTGAAACTACTGGTAGATCCAGACCGTGATCCTCGTTCATCTTTGGCACGCATAGGGTTATCTTTCGGCAACGTGCGGAAAGGATTGGTACTGGGGTGCGTATATGTGACGGTATACTTTCTCCCACTCTGTTGGGTGTTGAACGATTCAATTTTGTGCTTCGTGGCTGTGGCCGCTTGTGGTGATCTAAATTCAACGAACGCTTGTCTATGGAACATCTAGGATTTAGCTGCCAGTGTCTTACGGAGTCTAACATCCAATGGATCTTCAACCTACCCTTTACTTTTACCGTTCACCTTGTGTTCGCTGAACGTGACATCTTTAAGATCATTCTCAACGCCAGCCTGGTTGACCCAACCTCTGATATCATCGTCTGTCGTCCACCAGTACAGATCCGAAACGAACAGTGCAGTTGTGGCATCGGGGTCCATACTTCGGTCATCATGACTCTCTTTTCGCTTCACGCCTTGTTGTGGTGATGCTTGAACCTGGGGCTGATGGTGCAGTTGTTTTGAAGGTTGGGGAGTTTCTGATGCAGGTGCTTCCGTTTTAAATATCTTGTGACTGCCATTCTCGACATGGCCATTACCATTACTGTATTTCTCACCGGGCCCCTCGTTATTTGCCTCGCTATTCTGGAGTTGCTCAGACGCGTCAAGAATGATATCTGCTTCTTCTCCTTTAAACTCTCCATCTTGCTCACTCCCGTTGTAACCGCCGCCGTCCCCGTAAATATCAATATCGAAGTTATCATCCTCAGTACTAGCCATTTCGGGAAATTCCAGGACGGGATTCTGAATTGTGAGGTATTTGATTGATCTTGATTTTCGTTATGCACAGGCTTTTGGCACGATGAGCTTTAAGGAGAGTACATGTCTGCCAGTTGGACAATTCAAATTAGCGAGAGAAAAACATGAGTACGAAATGAAGTTGTCTGTAGCAGTACATGCTATGCGAAGCATGATGCGATATCTCTTAAATCGCGACACAGCTCTTATTCGTCATCTCCAGTCGCTCAGCACACCAAGGAAGAACAGACAAAAAAGGAGCCAAAGAACTTAAGGCACAGGGGAGAAAGAGATAAGAACACAGAGAGAATGAGCGAGAGAGACAAAGACAAGAAGAAGATACGTACAAATCCCGACCGTACAAGGCTGTCGAAAAGAGAACACAGTATATTTATTCGCAAAAGCGGGATGTGAGTTCGCTTCCCACGAATGAGATAAGCTACCTGACTGCCTTCGATGGCAAGCGCAGGTGAGATAGAAGTCCTCAGAGTATTATATAAGACAAAATATGCCTGGTACAAGACAATTTTCTCGGGGTTTCACTCGCGTTAAGAGAGGAGTTAAGTACGGTTCAAGGAGATCTAGCTAGTCACAACCGTTGACACCACCTATCGAGTTCTCTTCTAATATGAAGAGGTAGGTACAGGAAAAAAGAAACGGGTAGTAGGATAAGATAACCTGAGCCAGTCAAATGGATGAGGCAAAGTTGGAAAGACGATTGAGAAGGTTAATGGAACCCGCGATCAAGTCCAACTCCAGCCTCGTCAACCAACGACGCGGAACCTTGATGATGCACAAAGGTTAGTCTTAAGGAGTGCCAAAATTGAAGGGAAATGGAAAGAGGTGAGGGAAGAGACAATAGAGGACGATATGGCGATGAAACTGATCTTGATAAGGAGGGATGTGCGTTGTATGGGGATGGATGTTCGCAATATGTTTGAAACTGCGAAGTTGAAATTGCAATCGACTTGCGGTTTGGACTGGATGAGTCAGCAAGCTCGCGCCTGTGAGCCTGGAAGCAGATCAACGTGGAAACGCAACGAGCTAGTTGTCGGAATAAGTGAAATCCCGGAGCTAGGCCTGATACGGACAGTAGAAGGCCACCTCACCAGAAAGGAAAGAGCCAAGATCCACCGCCGATTTACTAATTGCACCGTTCCACATCCTCCGCACTTCATTGCTCTCCTGTGTGTCGACGATCTACTTGACACAACTCTGCAAAATACGGCCATTCTCGACTGGAACTTTGTAATATTTACAAAATACAGACAGCTTATATCTCTTCTCCTACTGTTTAATCCCCTCCGATTCAACACCTCAGTCACAATGTCAGAAACCTTCCAAGAGCTCGCCGATATTCCCAAGGACTTCGTCAAAGATGGCATGCTATTCATGAACCGATGTACCAAACGTATGTGTTGTTCCCACTCAATTCTGATTCAAGATATCTATGTGGAAAATTTTCTGCCATTGCCCAGCTCACTAACAATGTAACAGCTGACAAGCGAGAATTTCTCAAGATCAGCCAAGCAGTTGGCTTCGGGTTCCTCATCATGGGCGCCATCGGCTACTTTATTAAACTGAGTGAATAGCGAGCTTTCCTACTTCTTAATCTTTCTTTTCACCTCTGGCTCTGGACGTATCACTAACGCTGCTGTCCAGTACATATCCCCGTTAACAATATACTTGTCGGGGGCGCATGACGGAGCGACTTAGCAACAAGCAGGGGAGGCGGTTTAATACACTGAAACGACAAAAGCGATGGATGACATGGTTGTCTCCAATTCTCCGAAATCAACGTACAATGATCGAACCAGGCACTCTTTTGCGCATATCCACTTCATCCATTCCCGGCGACGTGATACCAATACACGACGTTTCATATCTACGACGCTCCATTGTTTTCTTACATTTTTTACCGGGTAGTGGTTGAGGTGCTCGCTGCTAGTGGGTTGAACGGGATATATGTATGTAATAATTACGGAAAAGAGACATTATTCTTTTCTTTTCAAATAAATAAAGGGAAAATTGTTGTTAGGTGATCTGGAGTTAATAGATTGCTTCTTACATTCCCAAATTCGTTGCTGTTTCCCCCCTCCTTCCCCCACTTCTCTTCCTTTTCTTCACTTGCCTGCGTCTCTTATTGCATCGTTTCCCCATTATATGTTACTTCTTTTGCATATGTACAATATCCCAACTTTATTTACGTTGAGCCCCTTTTGTGTTAACGTTCGGTCCGTTTTCCCCCTTTCTTTGCATATTCTTGATAACATTCCCCACTTCCTATCAACAATCAGGTGTATCATTCAAAATCATCCATCTACTGGAGTTCCAAAAAATTCTTTCGATTCAACTAATAGCAGTGGATTGAGCCATATCTTGAAGACCATTGGCAGTGTTTGCACGCGTGAAGTAAGATGTGGTACAGCATGTACAGTCCAAATCATCTGTTGCCTTGAATTGGAGATAGAAGGTTCATCTCTAATGCATTAGCAGAATACCAAAGGATCGTGCAGTCCCAGCCAAAAGTTGGGAGATAGGAGAATAAAAAAACAAAAAACGTTGCTTAATTCAAGGGGGAAAGATGCAGTAATGAGAGCGTCATTAGAGCCCTGCTTGGTCAGAGGGCTCCGTTGAGTTCAAGCCCAACAGATGAAGAGAGGATGGTAAACCCAATTAAAATTAAAAAACATACCCAATAATAGAGGGGGTGAAGGACATATACCGTTATTCATCATATCATGGCATACCAACAACGGCAATCGTAACAAATGAAATAAAATAAGTAATAAATGAATGCGGTGTCTCCCAGCAGACTCGATTTCGTACAATCATAAAGCCTAAACGGATCCCTTGCGGACGCTGTGAAGTAGCAGTTTATAAAAAAGAGTTCTAGAGCTCTGCCGATGCCTATGATTACAATGTATTCATGTCGATGTAATCGTCGTAATCAATTACCGAAAGCACGGGCCCTCTAGCAATCGAGGCATATTGTGGAAATCTTCCCTGTTCTTCTACAGAGCTGTTGTTGTTGGGTCTCAAAGGTTCCAATTTGCTGTTGTAGCTCTGGCCGAGTGGAGAATCGCCTTCGTCGAGCTCTGCGCTGTCGTTCCAGGTATGCACGCTGCAGGTGCCGGTTGACATGCCCCAGCCGTTCCAGGATGTTGCTACATATAAGGGAGAAGTGGTTAGCGTATTGACTAGCAGTTGCAGACGAATCCCTGGGAGACTGAGTGGGGTGATCACATATGATAGGTTTTCTAGATCCAGATATCGCCTGCAATACACTTTGAACAGAAAAACCTAATAGAGACACGAACTCACCAGCTATTATGGGCGCATTTGGATGCCAACTAGCATCTCTCACGCATGTTCCCCATTCGATCTCACTCCTTCCCATTCGGTGATGGTAGCCATCTGAATTGCGCTGACGAGAATTAAACGAAGCTTCTCCAACATTGACAATGCCTGCCACCGTAGCGTCAAGATTGTAAATGAATATCCGTCCATCCGAACTCCCTGTGTATACATATCTAGAGTTGGTGCTGGTATCGGGAGAGAAGTGGCATCGTATCAGGGTCTTTAAAACGCGGTGTCCACGGAACGTAACAACAGAACAATCGTAAGGATGGGGCCGATAGTCTGAGTCCGAAATAGACATATACCTGTAATCGAACCCGGTGGAGTAACTACTCAAGTCAACGGTGTCCAGGTTCGCACTTGTCATCATCTTCCGCAAATCCCACAATTTCATGCTTTGATCCTTTCCGTTGCTCAATACATATCTCCCGTCTCCCTTGCTGTCGACATAGGCTATATGGCTCTGTTAGTGAAGGCGGTCATACTCTGTGTGCATGACTGTCCGTATACTTACTAATCCCTTCAGTGTGGCCCAGGAAGCAGCCAGCGGCCCTCCCATCCCCCATTGATCGACGATCCCAGACCATGATTGTCGTATCATCAGATCCCGAATAAAGGATATGAGGTGAAGACTTATCTCCAAAGCAAACAGCGTTGACATCATCGTCATGTTTTTCAAGTGTTAAAGTCGGTGTGCGGCTTTCTATATCATAGACCACCACGCTATGACTGGAATTGCCAGCAACCAACTCGCGACCATCACCACTGAAACGAACACTCCATATCTGCGCACGAAGTGGGTAAGTTCACATGGCTAAGAACGATGTGAATTAAGGAGAAACATACCCCAAAACCTGAGCTACCAAAATGCGAACTGGAGCGGTTGGCAAAATCTAGAAGAGTAGGTTCCGAATCTGAAGATGGGTCTGTTCCCGTCAGGCATACAATACTTCGAATCGAACTGTATGCTAAAAATCTGTTGTCCGGGCTCAAGCTCGCGTCCGTAAGAGTCCATTGTCCAAAGGGATACTCGACTGTTTTATACCACCGCCACTGAAGAGGGTTGGATGTATCATACATCCGTACCTTAAAGTCTTGCGCACAGGAAAAAAAGAAATTTCCATCATCAGAAAAGGATCCAGAGTAACATCTCGAATTATAGTGAATAATTTTATCAGCTTTCGAATTAGGGATGAGGTCCTGTTCATCACGAGTCAATTTTTAAAGCTGGGGACTAGGGGGAAAAAATCGTTTGCTAGCGAAGAGTTCAAACCTGCGATATTGCACGTGGATGAAGGCGCGGGCTATAAGCCAATTCCCTCCACATTAGCCTCGTGGATAGTTTTTCCTTCCGTCGTTTTGTTTTATCCACATAATGTAAATTATTTCCATAGTCCCCCGAATACATTAATTCCCGTCCAGCGTCGCTAGGCACTTTGGGCAGCAGATGTTTGCCTGTCCGGCTTCCGCGCCTGGGGTATGCAGCAGAGCCATATCCATATATATTATCGTCATCTCCAACGTGAAACTGTACCCCTGATATTCTGTGAGGATGTAGAATACGACGTAATCCTTCCGAGCCAATGAAGCGGAATAATTCGGCCGCCGATACTATATTCATCATCAACAAACAGCGGTTTTTGCTTCGCACAATAACGGGGCTAAAAATACATGGCATATGATTGCGATCTGGGCCTTGAGATCTCTGCTCGCCTTCTTCTCCACCTTGGGCCCCTACTGCAATGTTAGCATGGTCGTCCTCAATTATGATATTCTTTGCTCTCAAAGTCCGAGGAAACATGAATCTTCTGTCCATATACGGCAGACAAAGGAAGGCGTACCAAAATCATCAGAGAGACCATTATTCCCCCGCACTTCATCCTCGTGTTCTTCAATCTCAAGGAAGTCAGATGGCGGCAGAAAGGCACTATCATCCTCATAGTCGTTTTCATCAAATAGCCATTCTGGGGCGTCTTCAAAAACCTGTCCTGGACCAGGTTGATTGCCAGAACCCGGCCGCGGTGAGGAATTTGATGAATTCATGACAGAAGAGCTGAGTGTATTGATACGGGAATGCCTCCTTTGTTGGAACTAAGCTCCCGGGCGGGGAGAGATGTAAGTCACCAACAGGAAGATATAATTTTAGTGTGGACTCTGTGAAGGTGTTATGTAGCTGTATATCTCCGATCACCGAGGGTATGAGATTATAAAGTTCTCCCGTCAAAACCCGGGTCGCGCGAAAACATCTTGCCGTTGTAAATGTCCGTTGCGCAAATAGGCCTTCACGATCAGATCCCATGTAGCTATATCATCCCTGTTATGACTATCTCATCATCAGCAGTTTCTATGCCGCTGATGGGGAATTATTCTTATTATTAGCTAAACCAAGAACTAAGTTAACTACCGAAACAGATCACCTGCTGGAACACTCACCCCATATATATTCAAAAAGAATAAAGAAATCCAAAATCACAATAAGCAACAATTATATGAAAATATAAAAAGAGTTATATATATTATTTCTCAGTCTATTATATTCATTACAGAATACTAATACTTACTTTTTAATAAATTAATATAAATTTTTTTATTACTTTTTTTACATCTTGTTTATGCAGCTTAAAGTTCTGATTAATTCTCTCTTTGCTATCAGAACATTTTTTAAAGTTACAGAGATGTATCTTCATTTTCACTTACACTTTTACCTTCTATTTGAAGTTTATAGAATCTTGCTTTTCTCTGTATCAAAATAGTAGTACTATGTATAACTAGTTAATGCTTCTAATTAATTGAAATAAGGTCTAATTTATTAAGCTATAGAAGTTATATATATAGTATTTAATATATTACTTGATTATAATAAACTAATATTCAAATTAAATTATAAGTAAAAAATTTTTAAAATATATTAAAGACTAAATTATTTATAGTTCAAAATATAACTATATATAAATTTTTTTTATTAAATTATATAATATTAAATTAATAATTTAAATTTAATTTAATAATTATATTTTTTAATATATTTTTAATTATAATATATAAATTTAAAAACTTATTTTTTATATAAAATTAATTTATTATATATATTTTTAAAATAAATAAATAAATTTATATTTAATAATTATAAAAAAAATATATATATAATAATATTTTAAAAATATAAATTTAATTTAAATTTAATTATAATATAATTTTTATTTTTTAAATTATATTAATTTATAAATAATTTTTTATATTATAAAGTTTAAAATATTTTATTTTATATATGATATTAATGAAGTTAAATTTTTATTTTAATTATAAAATATTTTTTAACTTTTTTTAAATATAATAATTATTATATTTATAATAATTTTAGTTTTAATTTTAATTTAAAAATTATAATAATAAAATTATAATAATAAAATTATAATTATTTATATTTATAATATTTATTTTATATATTTATAAATTATTAATTTAAATAATTTTAATATAATTTATAAATTAATATTTTTAAAAAAATATTAAAAAATAAATAAATATATATAAAAATAAAAATAATAAAAAGATTATTTTTATTTTTAAAACTAAATTTATAAAAATTAATTACAATTATATATAAAATAATTTTATAAATTTATTATTAAGTTGTTCAATTAAAATTAAATAAAAATTTTCAAAAATTTTCATATGAACATGCAGCTTCATAAATCGAACGTATTTCTTGCTTGTGAAGAAAGAATATTATACCTTCACGTCTTTTCTCCATCTCTACAAAGTTTCTTTTTGACTGTGATTTGATGACATTCTTACACAGATATTGAAGTGGGGTGAAGCAGCTCAGAGAGTGTAGATTACGTTACGTAATTAAGGTATTCCCCACACTCTCGGAATCGGCGAAACTTTCATCACAATTCCCCCCGCCAAATAGTTAACTACCGGCCACCTTGATTAACTAATCAGCCAACGGCCGTTGCTCTGATAACGCAAAGCTCTTGGTTCTCCTATGCATGTCGAACTTCTCTCCGGCTTCTGGATATCTGATATCCCTCGAATTATTCTACTCCAAAGGCTCTGAAAGAATACTCAGCCGCTGTTCCTAGTGATTTTGCTAACCTCTCCTTCCCTTACTGGCTATTCCAAGATACTCAGAACCCTCACCAAGCCCGTGTCTAACGCTTGTGAGCAGACCCTGATCTCAAAGTTAAAAGAACAACCTTACGAAAAATGCAAGCTATACCGGATGCACGCCAGCAAACTTTTGAGGAGATATATGGCCCTCCTGAAAACTTCCTTGAAATTGAGGTATCCATCCCAAACATCCTCGGAGAGCTCTCTTCTCTTTTCTCCATGATGAATTACCCCTCATCCGTCTTCAATCGTGATATACCCGCCTTTGCGATTTAAGCTCGCATAACGTCTTTGGCTGCTCCGCAACTCTTTTAGTATGAATGTCAAGCTCACCCGCCCTGTTTTCCCGTCATAGGTGAGAAATCCTCAAACGCACGGCACATCACGCAATATGTATACCTCCTATGAAATTGTCTGCCGCACCAACATCCCCGCGTTCAAGCTCAAACACTCTGTCGTGCGCCGCCGCTATTCAGATTTCGAATATTTTCGAGACATACTGGAGCGTGAGAGCGCGCGCGTAACGATTCCCCCCCTACCAGGGAAAGTATTCACCAATCGATTCAGTGATGACGTGATTGAACATCGGCGGGAAGGTCTACAGCGGTTCTTGCAAATAGTAGTAGGCCATCCCTTGCTACAAACAGGGAGCAAGGTGCTTGCTAGTTTTGTTCAAGGTAATGATGTTTTTCTTCTCCTTTTTCCCTTTCATTTTTCCCCGTTGATCTCTTTCATCCGTCTAACGTAAATCTTCCTGCACTAGATCCAAACTGGGACAGGAATGCATGGTAGAAGAAGATTGGATATATATATATATATATATATATATCTTCACTTGATTGAATATGCCACCTTATTTCCCCCTCTTTGAGACCTCACACAATGCGTGCGAGATATGATGATTGTAAAATTGCACCGTGCTTTTCCAAGTTCTCATTTCCCATATATCAGTGGAAAGCTGCTGGACGGACATCTTCTATATCACCATGATAGATATTTGGATGGGACTACTTGGTATCAGAATGGCGGGTCAAATGAACCTGTTGATTGCTGATTTTCCGTGTCGGGTCGGAAATGCCATGGCCCAGAAGCGCTGGAAACAATTACCTCTCGTTTGATCCACCTGTCATACCCGTGAACTAAGCGGTCAATTGACGCACATAATTATTCTTCGGATCTTATGCCTACCACTCTCTTTCACTTCATCCCACAAGCACTTATCATTCTAAAATTACCCCTTATATATTCACATTTCTTCCTCAGCACCTGCATACCTCTCAACAACCTCTTTCTCGATATCTGTCAACTCCCTTCCACAATATCCCCTTTGTCTCTGTATATTCCGATATTTTAAGAAACTATGGCATTCTCCTTCCATCTTTATCCTTCCAAGTTAGCATGTTTTTCATTCAATAAATTATCTTCGTTCTACAATTGGCTTACATGAAAAAATTTTTTCTTGCTCTACGGCCTATTCTACGTGGACAATCTGCGATCTCTCTATTCCCAACGATGCCACTATCAATCACTTCGTGTTAAAGTTATAAAACTGCGAGGTTTGTTTGTTTTAGCTTCTCCTTCAATTTTCTAATCTTAGCCACAATCTGTCTTGCACTTGATTTTGAGTTCCGCACTAGTTAGATCACCAGATGCTTCGGCTAGGGTTTCCGCTTCTATTTTACGCCAAGAATGATGGGAAATAAAACGTAGGATAACTGTTACCAGGTTTGAAATGGCTATTTTCTAAGGTTTTGAATGGAAGAAAGGTATTATACATATCTGCGATGCCCATGTTCCGATTTGACTCACCGATGATGCGAGGAAGAATAGCCGAACAGGGTCCAAGCTGCTCTTTTTCTACTCCACAGCTTAAGTAGAACTATTGGTTTAAATTTGGTATTATCGTTTTTAAATAATAACTACTACGTTCAATACCCTGCTATACATATTAAATCAGGTCAGATTCTCTATATACTACAAGCATTTTGAGATACAGAATACAATTTGGCATGAAGCATAAAACCGCTCGAGATCCAAGTTTCAAGGGCCGAGTTGCTGTCAAACTATGGATAGTATCTTGACGACTTAGAAGGTGACCCATGCTGCGCATAGAAGTTCATAATCCGTGTAAACATGTCCATGACCTAAAAAGAATAGCCACCGTATATACATCTTAGGGATCCTAATAATGCAGATGCTTAAGGACTAATTCAAAGGGGGAGTGAATATAGCCACGGCAAAACGTTGAAGGGGTACCGCTCAATTGTTTACCTAAGGAGGTCTGGAGGTAAACGCAACTGCAGATTATCTACGCCAGCTCATCCCAACCGAGCGGAGGCAAGGTATTACCGCCCCAGCTGCCATCCACATCTTCCATTTGAAATGAGAATAGAGAGGCGTTGGTAATGCTAGGCATGTCAGGCAAAGCAGGTGGAGGCGGCGGAGGGAGGGGTTTCGTAGAGGCAGAATCATTGGAAGGGGATTGAGAGGAGCGTCTCCTAGCTGACCCAGAGTCGATAACATCATATCGGCCGCCAGGAGCGGCTGCTTTGGGTTGTTTTCTATATAATGATGCGGCGTTCGCTTTCGCGACGCCATTGCAACACGAATGGGGTTCAGGACTTGGGAGTTCGCCACCTGCATCACTTTTACCAAGTTCAACGGGTTTCGCGTTTACGGAACCGCCTTCCCGATACACGTCCGGGAATTTTGTTCGGAAACGATCCCTGAGATCTGTGGCTTTTCTGTGCATCAAGTCCAAGTGTTTATCCTGCCGAATCTGTGTCCACTGGAACCCGTGAATGGCGTAGCCTTTGAGGAGGGCCTCATCCTCTGCAGGTGTAAACGGGCGGCGAGAACGTCTGTTCGACTTAATGCTCAAGTAGGGTTCCTGAAGGCCAAGGGACACAAGTGTTGATTTGGATTTACTGGATAGTGTTTGGCTGGCTTTAGCTGACGCAGATTGGACGTGCTTGGTTGTCAATTTAATAAGATCTGAACTTGTTTTCGGAGCCCAATCCGTAGAGAAGCTGGGAGGTACAGATCGAGGAGTGGTCTCGTTAACAGGTTTCAGAACACTTGCTGTAGAGACTGCATTTTGTTGTTTCTTATTTTTGCTGAATCTTGGATCCGGAAGAAAAATTTTGCCGGATAAGCTGGCTTCTGATCCATTTGAAGCCTCTGTGAGGACATTTTTCACTGCTTCGTTGGTGTTCTGCTCTGATCCATAAATCCATGGACAGCAAACGCGGAACCTATCTTTCAGATTTGCAGCTGTTCGTTTATTAAATTTAAGTTCAGGCTGGGTAAGAATTGCTGTCCAATTTCCAACCCCACACTTCACAACTCCTCGTAATAAATCTCTTGTTTCTTCGTCTGTCCATTTTCGCAGCTTCCTCCTTGTTCGATGCTGAGATTTTGGTGACCCAGGTTCCTTTTCAGGCATCTCAGTTACCACTTGGGAAGTTGCTTGTCGAGTGACAGTAAGGTCGTCACCATTCTCCAACATGGGCTCACCAATCTCTTCAACGCTTGGCTCAATAATGTCATTAATCCGCCCTCCTCTTCGCTCTGAAACTGTATCCCCAAGGGCGGCATCATGTGGGACAGGGGTATCCCGAGTTGGTCGCGTAAGAATTGTGGGGGTACCATTAGGCTCAATAGGTGGAAACAAGGCAGCATTTGGCGGAGGTTCATTTAAACCGTTTAATATCGTTAAAGGTCCAAAAGGAGGACGTTTAGTATTCTCCTTTTGATTTTTTGGAATAGGAAGTTGAAGATGTTCCCCGAAAATGTCACCGTTTACATCTAACCGACGGCGCTTTCTCGGAACCTCCTCATCGAATGATGCATAGGGTAATTTCTCGATGGCACGAAGGTTGATGAAAGTGGGAAGAATAGTCTTTGGGGGAGGATCTGAGCTTGACGCCGCCCTGGGGATTGCATGGGACGCTGAATCGCAGGTGCGGGCAGCGTTTAAGAAGTCTTCCAACGTAGGAAGTTCAGCAGGAGGGTTTCCACTAATGAGAGAGGTTTTCGGGATAGGTGCCGTTTCTCTGGTCCCGCCAGCATTGGGTTCGAGAGGAAAGGGGGCTTGCAGCGGGTGGGAGGGAATAGGATCCCGTAGCGGTGGGATTCGTAGATTACCATGTTGCGAAAAGTCTCGCTGCTGGAAAAGTGTGTCATCAAAGGGTCCAGGAACCGCACAGGCTCCAACAAAAGGGTCCATCATCTCATCCAGCAAATACCACTGCCTGTCAGTCGTGCAGCCATTGATTCACAGCAGCTATCAAGCTACCCAACAGGGAGTGTTGAACCTCTGTTAACATTAGGGATGGAATATAGATGGATGGATTGAGATCACTTTACGATGGTGGAATCATGTGAACTTAATTTTTGTCTTCCAGAACTGCTTATTAATCGTGCCGCTGCGCAACCCACACCTGATGTGAGTACGCCACATCAAAATGATAAAAATATTGAATCACATCCTCATTATTGCACTCTATATCAACAATCAGTAGCTAATCTATAATAAAAAGATTATCTACATCATTCTCAGTATGTGTGTCATCTTTAAATTGATTTAATTCCTCTTCTGTCACTGATGTGAGTGAGTTATTGTCAATTTTTATAGAATCAACTTCAAGTCTTTATTATTTCTTATTCTGCTCTTTTTCAGCTTTATTATTCTTACACTGCTTGATTTTTCTATTGAGTGAGAACTCTCTCTACTTGAATCTGATGATGAATTGTTTTAGCTCTGTGATGTTTACTGATATTGAGAAAGTTCTCTAATTCAATAATCTGTTACTTATTAAATTTCAAATAAATTAGATTTGATTTAAATGTCTTGTTCAAATGATATGTCAATATGAGTGATTTCAATTTGAGAGTATCTCTAATATTTTGTATGATATTTTTCACAATAATAATATGATATTTCAACTTTTGAATTATCTTTAATGAGAATAGCTGAGAAGAAGAGATACATATGTGATCTAAATCATTCTAATCTTCATAAATCTGCAGTAATGGAGATGATGAGATTTGCTGCTTAAAAATATCAAGAACTCAATCAGAATTTCATAAATATATATCATATTGAGCTCATTCTGCAGTTATTATATCAGATTTAAAATTCTGCTTTTATATATCTGAAAGATATTATAGAAACTGCTATTTTTCATACTTAATAAGATCATGATGTGCAGTATAGTTGACTGCTTTTGAATGATAATACTTATATTACTGAAATAATAAACTATTTAGAGATTGTAGTAAATAAATAATATATAATAAAAATTTATATAAAATTATTTTATAAAAATTTATATATTATATGAATTTTTTAGTGATATAATATTTATAATTATTCATTAAAAGCAATTAATAACTTTTTTTCTATTTTTTTTCTATAGCAGTATTGAAATGTTTGAGTTATTCAAATTTAATCTCATTATTTGTAAATTCAGTATTTAATATAATAATTCTATAATTGCTGAGTAAATCTGTCTGTGTATATCAATTCTTCAAATGTATTTTAAAGATTAAAATTATCAATAATGAAATGATATGATTATTTATGAATATACATTCAATAACTATAATCAAATCTATTGAAAAAAATGAAAAAAATGATGAAATTAGCTTTTTTAAAAGTAGTTATAACTCATTCTTTACATTTTTATTCTTTTTGAAATTCAATCTCATTAAAGTTGTATATGTCATAGATGTGAAATTGATTCTGCTCAAATAGAATCTGAAGATATTCAAATCATATATATTAATATATTTAATATCTTCAACTGTTACTCTTTTTGAATTTATTAATTTCTATTTCACTCTTTTATATTCAGGTATACATTCAATAAATCTATAAGTTCATATCTTACTGACTTTTGAAAAGAAGATAGTAGAATTTAAGTATTAGTATCTAAGTATTGAATTCATGAAATCTTCAATATATTTGACTGTGAGAAAATAGTTCTTTTTATTAAACAGCTTGACTTATTATTTAATTATATCCTTTTGACTTTTATTTAATCTTTTGTTAACTGAAATCTTTGCAGTATTTAAATTCCTTTCATTGATATGCACTTAGAGATATTAATAAAAAATCTCAAATCCTTGTAACAAAGATAATATTTTAAAATTTGAGTATTTTTGATGATAAATGACAGCTTTTTCAATATGATCTTCAATATTTTTATCCTTATTTGACATTGTGGTGAGTTATTAATTGATGAAGATGATGAAGATGATGAAATTGCAAGATTTTTATCATTTTGATGTTTTTATCATTTTGATGTGATGCACCCACATAAGGTGTGGGTTGCGTAGCAGCACGATTAGTTACTTGCAGATTTGCTGACTAACTCAATAAGATGATTTATCTATGAAATGTACACAAGTATGATGCATTATCAGATGAGAATCCAACAACTTTTGTTAGCTATGCAAAAGGCCTCTCATTATTTTCGCAGTAGTGGAGCCAATCTCACTGTATTTGTTCTCAGAGAGGCCCCAGAAGAGGAATCTAAACTGGATACTGACTTTCTTTAGCATTGCCAGCTTCTGGGCAGCTTTCTTCGATGTGAATAAATTCGTTTTTGGTCAGACCCCAAACTCACTAACACCTGCAGAACTACCGTCAAGCACGCAGGCAATCGCATATCAACTTGGAATTTTATATTTACTGCTTGAGCTGGTCGGTGCCGGTGTTCTTTATTCAACGCCGGAACCAAAAGTGGCCAGAAACTGTCTGATCGCACTTGCAATTGGAGACTTGCGACACATATATGCCACGTATTCCTGTATCGGATTTGATGACTTCATCAATTTTAAGTAATGGAATGATATGGCATGGGGAAACATCGGAGCTTTCTGCATTCTCTTTGTAAATTGCATCGCGTACCTTCTTGGTACCTCTGGGTATGCGAAATCCACCAACGATGCGAAGAAAATGCAGTGAAAATTTAGGCGACAGTCCTGGAATCAAAAAACTTGTATATCGCTTACAAACACCTTTTGGTAGAGGGGAATGTTACTTTTGATCTCCCATTTCCTCCTTGCCGTTTCACTCCGAGTGGGTATAAAGATATGATCGTATTATTCAATTTCTTAAAGGATATCTCCATGAATTGGGCTCTATCAATGATTTCACTATTACAGAATTGTTTCCGTTTGACATTTTGAGATCCTAACTGTCAAGCTTTTCACAACTCATGCTTGTCTTAGTTATCCAAGTTGAAGGAATATGAAAGAAATATCTTAGACATCATTTGCTCTCGCTCTCGTGATAAGCTCATTTTGGGCCTGCAATTCGCGCATATTTCGGTGGAAACGGGCGATGAAACAGCGGCAGAAATTAATAAATCAAAAATATGACGGAACTGCCTTGAAATAGCACAATGGAAGTTGCATTCGATTAGAACACGGCGTCTGTCTGCCTGTCTGCCACGCTGGTCGCCATCCGATTTAAACGCGCACTTCTCAAATCAAATTGGCTGACAGAGTTGCTGTGTTTTTGACTAGTTAACTAACAAAAGGTTTAGTTACCGTTTGGTTGCTAGTCACCTATCGTTGCCCGACGAATGGCACGGGATGGCCCGAAAGCTACACGTCAAGTCAATGGAGGGATGCCTCCTCAAAAGGCTTTCTCTTGAGCTTTCTGGAACCTCACTCACCTGCCACTTGTAAGATCAGTATTCCTTTTTCATTTCCTAGTTTACGAGGTCCAAATTTGGTCGGATCATGTGCAATATCAGCGCCTAGTTCGGTGGATCGAGAAAACAGGGAAGGGAAACAAATGAGATTTGTTCCCAAAGATCTGCCAGAAATAATCTGAAAGTTCTGGATCAAAGTTTATGTAAACATTGGTTTACAGTTAGTTACCAACATGATACAACTGTCCGACCACGACAAGCCGTTTTTCATGAGAACGACCTTTGGAAAGGGTAAAGAACTTCTGGGGTCTCCACATTCATTAACAGTTAATCTAGATATATCCGTTCAAATTCAAATTCAAATTCAAAAAAACCCTATTTTTAAATATTCGGGGATTAGCAAGAAATTTCATCCTTTAGCTATGAGGAACTAATAACTCGAATTGCACCAGAGGGGTAGTTTAATCTGCACCCACCACCGCTTGGCGAAGTGGATATTGATAATGCCACCTCGTTCCTTGAAAGCTTGCCCGAAGGGTCCTGGTGAGAGTTACAGATCCCGTAGCGGTCTCTCAACTTCTTCTCAAGGTAGTAAGTCAATTTCGAATGAAACAACTTCGCTTTACATTACCATGTTTAATCGTTATGGAACAGGCCTTGAAACTCGTCTGACAACTCGTATTTCTGAATATGGTAATTTTACTGGTAACCCTACCACTCACCCGCAATAAAGGAGCAGCCTCTCCTGATGGACCTCGGTAACAGAATACTATTATTGCAATCGCAAGACCACGGCCATTTAATCGTCAGTGGACCTTTTCCTCCCAGTCTCGTGGTGTCGCTTAAGGCGGAGATGTCGTTAAATAATAACGATCGCCCTTCCGATACGCCAGAGTCCTCCAGTTTGAAAACTAATAACCCACATGGACAAAGCCTAGACGGAATGGACAAGGGCAGCTCCTCAGCGGGTGGTCAACAGCGCAAACCAGTGATTAAGAGACTGACACTTCATGCACAAGCCTGGTAAAGCCGGCACCAGCCATGCGGAATTAGGTGACGTTCTAAGGCTCACCGACGTAACAATTATTGGCAGAAGCGAAGTGTAGATCCGGTGACAGGCTGACAGCTGAATCATGTCAAGGACTTGGGAGGTAATGTAACTCCATCACCAGTGTATGGAGTACTTAGTACAGTACATACATACAGTAACTAACCATATGTCCGATCATAATGATACATATATGGTGCTGTACTCAGCGGTACATACAAGCCAATTCACAAAGCGGAAGGTTTGCTTCGTTCTGCAGGTAAAAATAAAGAACCACAACACATTAGTATGGAAATACAGAGAACTGTTCACATTGATGTTGCTCATTCTTGCTGGGCTGTGTTATTATTCTTATTATTTGATGCTTCAGGTCCACTGTGTTTCCAGTGCTCTAGACGACAGCTAACGACGATCTGTAAGGCTGTGGAAACAATTAACATGCTGATGAGACCACCTCCACAGTCATATGTGTCATTTCTTCTAGGGGTCGATTTTGCATTGGCCGGGTGTCATGAGCAAAGCAAAACTCCCCTCGGCTTCATTAACTGCGTCACAATGATGTTGCTGTGGATCTTCACACTCAAATTAAACCTATGGGGCCGGGCCCTTTGCTTAGGGACGTCTTCATGGAGGATAACGTAGCTGTTATGTAAAACTAGCTGGCTACGATCTTAAACTATATACAAGAGCGAGGCACGTGATTAGAGTAGCCGTATTACATCCTGCTGCCAGCAAGCCACTTTTCAGTCGAACTATTCGAAGATTGTCCCGGATCTTCGCCACTGTTTTCTTTGATGATTGGAGGAGCTTGGTTCCAAAGGAGCTCCTTTTCCCTGAGAATTGTGGAAGGCTACCCTCAATTTTCGGGACCTCAGTGATGGATGTTAGGACCTTGAATTTCCACTAACTATTGAATGATGATCTCCAGGCCCTTTCTGGTAGCCTCAATCATGTTTACCACCCGGATCAGCCAAGGTGCTAGGCGAGACCTCCTTTTGCAGATTACCCTGACTGATATCACCTGGGTCACTCTGGGATGTCAAATATTAATGTCAACTTGAAGGAATCTCCGACGAAGAATCGTGTCTGCACGTTCTAATGTTCTATTGCCAAAAAGGTCATCATCATCCACAGCATTAAGCGGTTTTTGGAAAACGCCGCCCACGCCCCTAATCTTTGGCCAAGGACTCCATTGCCCCATACAAACCCAGCCACCCCTCATATCATAATACCAGAGCTTGACCATTAATAATGAGGTCGGACTGGACAGTTTTGAGCGCGGTGGTGTTCTTTCCTCGATTTCTTCAATGCACTCAAAATTTTCCCATCCTATTCTGCAATATCTGAGCTCTGGGTTTATCTATTGTTATCGACACTCTCTATACAGCTAGCCTGCCCTTCCTGTCTCTCTCTGATTATTTTGGTTTTATTCGTGATCCTAGATGACGAATTTAGACGATTTATGACTTAGTTTCTTTCATGATCTCCACTGGTGAGCGTTTTTATATGACCTCCGTTGGACGGACCCTCGGAAATGGTTCAGTTCCAAGGAGACGGTGGCATGCAGCTCCTCTGGTACGGTTCCCAATTTGTCGTTGTACAAGCTGAGGACTACGTGACTCTGCCTTACTACGCCGATGTGATGGCGTTGGTGGAATATTTTGAAGTGCCTCCCGCAATTCATGATAGTCCTGTCAGTGCTGCTCCTTGACCCATTCCGGTTTCTGAGCCTCCATTTCAGGTTAAACTTGAGCCACCCCCATTTGATTGTCTATGGCGATGGCCTCCGCAAACCGGCGGATCGCTTCCTCGATGACCTGGGAATTCCGTATGAGCAAGAGCCCTCCAACCCGAACCTGGTAGTGATCGAGCACGCGGCGCTCTTCACTTCAACCTTGCTCTCCAAAGTCCTCTCATTCCCGAACATCAAGCTGAAATTGCTCGCCCCGTATTGATATGATACAGGTAAGCACAAGAGCGCACTCATCTGCTAGTTCCTGCCGACTCGAACCGTGACAAGGTCCAGGGACTCATGCCTCCCTGAAGCAGGGAGGATGGGGCTAGCTTGATACTTCTGGGCTTCAGCGTGAAATTCATCAAGTTGCTTGTTCAGTTCCATCTATATCCTGATGAAGATCTACCCAGGTCCGTCCCTAGAAAGTCGACCTGCGGACACAGTGACTGATTTTCTCAGCGCATTACTCCCCTCCGATGATCTCACCAACGTGTCTCAACTTACTCATTATGATAGTGTCGAGAGATTCTTGAACCTGTGCCACTCTGTGACAAAACAGAGCTAGAGCATGGTGCTGGTTTCTATCCACACCCTCCAACGACCTTGGCTATAAAACGATTGCTACAGAAGTCCATGATGAAAGTTATTTGCAATTTAGGAGTGTTCCGCTCAATGATTGCATACGCTACTCGCTTGGATACTCTAGGCCATTGTTGAATGGTTTTTCTAGCAGCATGAACAACTCTCCAGTTATCTCAAAGACATTTTTGATGCATTCCCCGATGAAGCGTTCGAGTACGTTGAAGTCGAAAGAGTTCGTAAAAACACCTGCTCACTTGATACTTAAAATTCTAAACAGCTGGCTAGGAACTCCGTTCGGGCAAACCGTTTGCTCATCAAGCTCTTTGTGTCCTGTTTGAAAGCCCACGGAATTGTACAGTCGAACGACGCTCCAATGTCAACACATCAACTAGTACAATTTCTCACTATTCCCATCCAAAATTTGTTTAGCCCACAGAGGCATCTAACGTATATTTCAAAAATTCTGCCGGTATTGGAAATTCGCTTTAAACGCAAGTACCATCAAGGATCAGATGTCGGCTGGGTTAATCCTTTGAGCCCGAATGCCCATTGCTGGATGAATTTCTTGAAGATGCTTCGGCTGATGCTCTGGCGGTAAATCTCTCACACCACGATGAACACGACTTCACCGGCCTCTCTTTGCATAACATCGTTATTGAAGATTACATCTTACAGCAATTAACCACGAACTGGGCTAATTTGTGTACAGTGACAGAGGAGTATTTCCTTGCTTACCCGGATAAAGTTGACCATTTGAAAAAATGCGTTCAAGTCAGTTTTTCCTTAGGCTCTGCAGCTCTCATTTTATTTCCACAGGTACCTGGTAACATGTGACGATAGGAAATTGACGCTTCTGCCTAAAAAACCTATCCAACCGAAGGAACTATTATTCCCCGCTACAGCAATATTACACTGTTTTCAAAAAGCCAATCCCAAAGTGTTCCCATTCGACCTCCTCCCAACGTTATGTTACAAAGCTCCACAGAACACCCGTTAGTTTTCTTTCAGCTCCTTGATCCTACTAACAACTACGGATCACACCGAAAAATAATACAAGAGAAACCTGAGTTGCCGTTTCTCTTGCTTCATGCTGTAGAATATCAACTGCATGGTGAGCAAGGACTGGCAGGACTGTTTCCTCTTCCTTACTTGTAGTGTGGGAAAGCATATGGCATATAATGTCTCTTACTTTTATAGACGGAATCTTTCTGTCTGCTTTTTGGGGTTACCGGTAATTTGTCAAACTCCTCGTAGAAAACCATCAATTATATGGTACCTGATCGGAGGACTAGACATGGCGGTGGCAATTAGCAAAAGCACAGCACAGAAGATGCAGGAATTCACGTAATATTTGTTGATTTGTATTGAAAACTTTATATTCCGGAGGACTCCTTTTCCCTTCTTTACAGAAACGGCCATGAGAAATGCGAGATATATGATCTCTTCATTTGCCTGCCCACTCTTTTCTTTGATTTATAGACCAGATGTCTGTTCGCATATTCCATGGCTCTAAAAGCTGCTTGGTCAGCTCTCAGACTGACCGCGCACTAGATCTTCTGACCCTGAAGGGATGTCCACAAAAATTATTTACACAACCCCAGAAAAAGCTAGGGGTTGCTCTTTGCCGCTCACGGAGAAACTCGTTCAATTGGCTGAGCTCAGGCAGGAATCTCCAACCGACTCCAAACCTGGAGTTAATGGGAGAAACAAGTGGGGGACCGCCTTTCAAGCCAAGATGATATGAAGACCGTATATCTTTCGCTCCCTGCAGTTTGCCACAGGTCCTTAATTTACAGGACTTTCGTCCCACCGAAAGCATGGATTTTGCAAATGATGGTCAGAGTTTGTGCCAATAATAGCATTGCTATTCCACCCATCTTTCTCCATACGGTTGGGTTGTGTCGACCCATGCCCCGTTGATATTAACCTTCGATTGGCCCCACCAGATAAACGCAGGTATGGAATTCAGCTTTACTTTCCCTTTGCAGTCTGGAGAGCAACTGATGATTCCCCTGATCTCTAGCTCACGGCCCCACTGTGGTTCGCCGCTATGTTCCACCAATCAATTGCGCATCCCAGATTTCAGTACTCAAATCAAAGAACCAGGATCTGGGCCCTCATCGAAAGGTATCAGGAGGGCTGCAACAATATGGTTTGTCGCTGCATTCTTGCGTTAAGTGGCAGACAGAAGGAATGAAAAACACGGCATGACGGAGGGAGGGGATCATCCAAATCCCTAGTGTTTTAGTTAGTTTTCTTTCTTTGTCTCTTAAAAGTTTGCCCCCTTATATCAGCTCATCTATATTATTTATTTATACTAGGCATATTTTGGTTTCACATCACCCCTATCCAGGTAATGACTTAACTCTGTGACTTGACTGCTACGTGCTTCGTACATGATTCCTGACGCATGATAAAACTATTATTAATTACTATTTCCATCACCCCGCTATCTACCCCATATAAGGGCTTGCAAATAGATCGCTAATTCATCAATTAATTTTGTAAGAAACTTGAGGGTATTTGCTAATTCAAACGGGTTGTTGGGCCCCGTATAAAATGGTGATCATACTGAGGGTATGTATATTCACACCAAGCACGCATAACGTATAGTATCTGCTTTGAAAGACGCTGGATTGAGGAAATCTTTTACGTCGACATCCAATGTTTGTACGTTACTTTTAAAAAATAAGGTGGAGATTAGGAATTCTAGCAAGTTTGGCAAATCCTGCATGTTGGTAATATATGTATCCTTTCTGGAATTGAACTACATTTACAGGAACTGCGTGTAAGGCACAAGAACCGGCAGGGTTAAAACTCCATGGATTACACCAGAGCATAAATCTTCGTAGAAGCGATCACCCCAGATAATTATGGAGAAGCTGCTGCAACTGTAGGATCAAAACGGAAGGTATCAAATATGTCAACCAATTACAGGACGCCATTCTCCTCATAAAAAAAAATTCTGGTTCATATGCATATTAATTTTATTTTTATCTTCCCACATACCACTACATATTTAGTGACCCGCAAGGGCCACGGCACGGCGACGGTCGCGCTCCTCAGCAATAGAGAGCTAGAGGATATAATTAGTTTATGTAAGGAAATTTGGATAGATAGCTGAGGGGAAATGCATACCTTGACACCCTTGCCTTTGGGAAGGCTAATCCATGGTTTGTCTTGTCCAATTATGAAGACGTTGCTCTCCCGCGTAGCAAATGAGTTGTCAATGGCATCCTTGATGTGGACAATGTTGAAGCCACCATCGTGGCGTTCACGATGGGTAATGACACCAACACGTCCCATGTTGCGACCACCAGTAGCCATGGCAATGACACCAGTATCAAACTTGATGAAGCTAGTGATCTTGCCAGTGGCCAGGTCGACCTTCACGGTGTCATTGACTTTGATGGCAGGGTCGGGGTAACGGATCCTATAATCACCCGGAAAAAGGCATGTCAGCATCTCCGGGTAAATGTCCCAATGTTATTTCGGAGAAAAGAGCTCTAGTATCGGGATATCAACCAAAGCTTGGTCCAACGTCTGAATGATGCGGAAGAACTTACGTTCTAGCATCGTGCGTAACCAAGAATGGGATTCCACCCTTGCCAAGCTGCACGCGCTTGACTTTGCAAAGCTTGTATTCGGCCTCCTCGGCTTGGATGCGATGGACAGTGAAACGGCCCTTGGTGTCGTAGACGAGACGGAAGTTTTCGCCGGTCTTCTCAATGCTGATCACATCCATGAAGCCAGCGGGATAAGTGGAGTCGGTGCGGACTTTCCCATCGACCTTGACGAGACGCTGCATGAGGATGGCGTTAGTCTCACGCGCGTTGAGGGCGTACTTCAGACTGTTGCAGGGTTCTGCCTGTCAGCATTCTGAAATCTTGCTTCAGCGGCGGATATGCAGATTTATGAACTCACCGGTTGCGAATGAAGACAACGAGGGGCAAACAATCTCTCAGCTTGTGGGGACCAGGAGATGGGCGAGGGGCATAGGAGCCAGACAACTTGTCCAAGAGCCAGTGCGAAGGCGCACTGAGGCGCTTCTGATGCTTTTTCCTAGAAACACGGAACACATTAGCTTGAATGAGGCAGGATAATAATCGAAAGGGCAGATAATTACATACGGTCCACGGCCCATAATGGTTGATCTGTTGACTTGATACCTCGAATTGTCGTTGTCGTCGCGGAGTTCGAGAAAGTCAACATTACAAACGACGTGTGAGTCGGAGATCTTTTTTTGAGGTTTGGGCAGAGAGAGATTCGCTTAGAGGCCTCTTTTAGGTTAGTGCAGGAATAGCCCTAATTCTAACCGCATCAGGACGGTACTTTGAATCAAAATGGTTGCTGACTAAGCATAATCTGGGTTGCCCAAGGTTGTCCCAACCAAGTAGAACGGTGAGAACACATCTATAAGATGAGAAATACCGAGTAGATGGGAATATATTTTTGGATGATGGTACACTGTAAAATATTCGTTCCCCATAGCTGCTTCATCAACGGAAGCTGTGGGGTTTAGGAAAAAGTTAAAGATATCTATCGCCTGTGGGCAGAAGACGGAAAACTGCCTTGACGAAAGTTGAAATATGCGAAAATCAGACAAGACGGGGAAATCGAGGACACAATATTCAAACCTCTCCAATCAATTTTCATTCTTTTAGAAAAACTGCCATCCGATGTATTCGATAGGAATTTACCCATTGGTGGCTTCATGATTGTTTCGTGATTGCCGCTCCCTTTCCATCTTGCGAGTCGCTACGAATAATTTTCCAGGATTCATCAACCAGTGCGGGTCAAGAGACCTCTTGATACTGCGCATAACGTCGATGGTCCCTGGACCGACTTCTTTTAAAAGAGATTGCATTTTACCCATCCCAATGCCGTGCTCGCCCTAGAATTATAAGTTTTCGTAAGTTTCATATTCCTTATTCAGCATCTGTGCTGGTAACTGGAGGAGAGTCGATATCAAGTCTAAAGACACTTACAGTGCAGGATCCTTCCATCTCCAACGCAAGATTAACCATGTCATAAACGCTCTTTTCTACTTTCTCCCGCTCGGCGGGATCCTTTCTGTTATACATGATGCTCTCGTGGAAGTTACCATCGCCAATGTGGCCGACGATGCTAGCAAATAGGCCTAGGTCATCCATGTCTCTTTTTGATGATTCTGGTTACATTTCATAGTTTAGTACCTCGTGCACATTTGCGTTGGAAAGGGAGAGAGTCAAGTGAACTATTACCGATTATATCGGGAAGCCTAGAAAGTGGCACGGCAACATCGGTTGACCAAATTTCAGTTCCCTCCTTGCGCAGCGCCATCATACTCCAAAGAGACTGTTTGCGCGCAGACCAGAGTTCCTGGCCTTCCCTGTCATCCTTCGCAAATACGAAAGAACTGCTGTTGTCGCTCTTGGCAATAGCCTTGGTTGCCTTAATGTTGCCGGCAACGGCAGTAGAAGATCCTGAAAACTTGAAGAAGAGCGTGGGAACTTCTTTCCATGTCCGATTGGTGCCACCAGCCCCGTTAATCACTCTCATTTGAACCTCGTCGAGGATTTCCATGCATTGAACATTGACACCTGTACGGATGACCTTCATGGCTGCAGACGCCGCATCGCGAATAGTTGGGAAAGTGGCGACCCCGACCCGCGTCTCTTCAGGTAAGACAGCTAGTTTGAGAGTGATTTCCGTTATGATACCTAGTGTGCCTTCAGAACCCACAAACAGCCCTGTGAGGTTGTATCCCGCCGCACTCTTACGGGGACGTTTTCGTGTCTTGATAACTCGACCATCGGCCAACACCACGGTCACGTTGAGAACCCAATCCTTCATAGTGCCATAGCGAACGGCATTTGTGCCGCTGCAGTTTGTGCCAACCATGCCACCAATCTTGGCTGACGGGCCAGGATCGACAGGGAAGAAAAGTCCTGAGTGTTTGATTTGCTCATTCAACTGCATCCATTGAAGGGAAGGCTGGACAACGACGTCCATGTCATCCTCATGAAAAGCGACAATCTTATCCATATGGGCAAAGTCGATGCTCATCCCACCGTGGGGCGCAGAGAAGTTACCCTCAAGGCTGCTGCCTCCCGAGTATGGTATCATGGGCATTCGATACTTATGACATATTTTGGCGATCTGTGACACTTGTTCGGTGCTCCTGGGATAAGCGACGGCGACGGGAAGTTCTTCGCAATTGATTGATGACCATTCTGAATAACCATGAAGATGCAAATCCTCGTCGTCAGTACTGATCGCGTCCTCTCCGAGTAACGCGCGGAGTTCAGTAATTGCCTACGAGCACCCACCCAGGGTTAGTATAACCGTAAATATGCATCTGTTGTATGTTACACCGCAGCACTGTTTTCCATACAGGTTTTTATTAAAATGGAGTGGTGCGTGCCTTTTCCAAGTCGCTCTTTGTCCCGTACTTTGGACTATCATCCGAGCTCCCAAAACGAGATGTTCCGGACACCCAACCACCTACTCCAAGTGCATACCCGACAGCACCGGCAATCGTAGCTAGGGTGATGGCTTGGCCAGCTCTGAGGGAAGATGGATTTCGAGCAGATTCTTGAGCTTGAGAACCAGACGTATTGCTGCTACTCCATCGACAAGAAACGTGCTGTGGGCGTTGTCGGAGTCCTTGCACGCGACTCTGACACCAAACCCCGCGCCGGCTAACCCCTGCGGAAACTCGGCCAAAGGATTTCATATTTTTTTATTATTATAACGGCCGGGAGAAATGATTAAAGTGAATAGCCTTCACCGGGGAGAGTTTTGGTTTTACTTGATACTATCGTAGCAGAACTGAATAGGAATAATTCGATTAAGACTTTGGCAAAGGCTGGTCGAACTGTGACTCGGAGAAGGTGATAGATAACTAGTTGCTCGATCTATTTGTTGACTTCCGGCAAATCTTTTGGATAAATATCACATATTGGGTCCTTAGTCTTGCGGAGCACTTACCACTTCATCGCCTTATATAAATCCAACTCCGTAGATTGGTGATGAGGCCTCCACTCGTACGAATATTTAACTAATATAACACTGTCACACACATGGAGGGGTTGCGGCCTGCTCAGTGATTGCACCGTTCGTTGACTCAAAACCATTTCATTCCCCGTCAGATAATAATTGGTGATGGTCCCAACTGTGATTGGTGAACATTCAACAAATCACTGTTAGGTGCGAACGGGAAAATAGATAATTACAACGCCAGCTCTTTGAAAGCCCTGTATGTTTTAATGAAAGAGTCAACTAACCAACTATCCCTAAAAGTAGGCTAGTTAAACAGTTGCGGCTAACATGCGAACTTCCAACTTTTTTTTTTTTTTTTTTTTTAATCGGACGATAGAGTCGGGTACGGCGCGTTCTGGGTGCTAGGCCTGAAGGTGTTGCATATCTTGGTACCCAAAGACGCAGAGTCAACTTTCCTTCCAATATGATATTTGCACAGTCATACAACAGAAGTCAGGTCAGCTCAGGGCGAGGTCAATCCTGCTGCTGCTCCTACGCAGTTTTTTGTAAGTAGAAGCACCTAGATAGTTAGCTGCCATATCCCTCAACCCGGAACCGTCACCTTGTAACACGGAATCATCTAAAGCTAAACTGTGCTCGCTTATTTCTCACCAGTGACGACTAACTCGAACGCAATTTTATGCGCTTCTTGCCCCAAACGCTGGGGGATTGTTGGTTTGACTCTCGCCTGTGACAACCGCATAGTTGCAGCAATCTCTATCTATGGACAGGTTTCTTCGACTAGAGCTGTCTCCACCTGGAGTAATCATACACCATGGCTTCACCGCTATTGATTGATCCAGCGGTTAATATAGAAGAAGAGAAGATGCCGGCTTATGAGAAGGGCCTCTTTTACCCTGTGAAACTTGGAGAAGTATTTAATTCTAGTTACCAAGTATTGGGAAAACTAAGATTTGGCGCAAATTATACAGACTGGTTCTATGGAATTTTTGCGTTGAGGGCTTTGCGCATACGAGTCTAGTGGCTGACTGCAAATTAGTTCACATTGCTATATGGCTCTAAACATCTACATCCGCAACTCCAACATCCAGACGGGAGGGAGGATCCTGCAGCGTCTCGCTGACTTTAGGTTCTTCCATCCTGGAAGCCGCAAGTTCTTGACAATGCTTGATGCATTCGAAATCAACGGACAGACTGGAGAGCATCCATGCTTAGTACATGAGCCACTAATTAGTTACCAGCCTTTTGCATCTCCAAGCTATTTTTGCTGGCCATCGTATGCCGGGAAATGCGCTCCAAGCACAACTAAACGAGGCTGTTAATCACCCTTGACTATCTACATTCTGAGACTTATGTCATTCAGACCGGTTAACTAGCTTATTCGGCCGTACTAACAGGGTGCCGCTGTTGCTGACTGCTTTTTTCCTAGATTTACAAACCAAAAATATCGTGGTGGTACGACAAACCCCAAGATATTTGACGAATGGGATAAGCTATAAGTTACTTCAAATCCCAAAAAGAATGCTAGCTGAAAATCCAACTCCCTGGAAAGCTGTTGGCGATCGTACAGTTTACAAGATCTCGAATGTTCAAAGCAAAGCTGGGGGTTCACCAATCCTGGCAGACTTCGGGACGGCTCGAATCGCCGAGGGAGAGCAGGAAGGCCTCTTTCAGCCATTCATCTACTGTGCACCTGACGCTATCTGGGCATGGAGTGAACAGAGAAAGTGGATATTTGGAATCTTGGAGTTCTAGTGAGTTATATTGTTAGGTTACTCATTCAAGGTTGCAGCTCATCTTATTATTAATAGATGTGGGATCTCCTTGGAAGCCCTCATATTTCTAGTGGTGAGAGCCCTGATGGAAAACATTCGAATGCACATTTCCCTGCTGCAGTAATCGCATTACTTGGCCCACCGCCGGTTGGGTACTTAAAGAGAGTTCGGATTGCGGGGATGAAATCAGGTATTCTCCTTCTATAGTGCTTATAGTCATGTGCTGAATCAATGGAACTGTGATACGAGGGCGTGGAGAGGTATGGTTATTACTCCTGAAATTCTCTTGAAATGTCGAAGGATTACCTTGAAGGGAAATATAGAAAATAGGAAATTCTTCATGCAGTTTATCCGGAAGATGCTGACATGGGCTTCGGAAGCCGGACTCAGCGCCCGAGAACTCTTGGTGACGAATGGCTGAACTGTTAGTTCTTGCTCAGCCAATCTTTCCAAAGAGGAGAATTTTCCACCTTTAAATATATCCTTAGTTGAATGTGTGCTAAAATTCATTAAATGCACAAAATTTAGCGTTTGGCTATGTTAATCCTTCATCATTTCTTCAATGTGGCAATTGATGAATCATGGGCTGATAATAGAATTCGCATGGGAAATTTTGCATTACTTCTCATTCCACCGCAATGGGCGTTTTCCTCTCAGATTGGCAACTCAGAAGTTGCAGAATAAGAGTTGGCTATGTTCCCAGTGACACACAGAATTCGCTGTCATCAGGAGCTTATGGCATTGAAGAGCTGCTGAAGCATGTCAAACGCACAATGAAAGGGAACACAACCTTGAATTCGACGTTTGATAACAGTTGGAAGAGCAGAGCACTGCTGGCGTGTTTCTCTCATCCATGGATGCTTCCAAGTACGGAGGTGATGTCATGTGTCGTCGAGCAACGAAGGAGACCCAAGGAATTCGACGATTTCGACGATCTATGAATGTTTCTTCGCGTCTCGACATACTAACTGAGTTTCCTGGATTCCTGTATCGCAGTTTGGCGGAATAGTCACAAGACGATATTACTACTGTCACGATGTATCCCCTTTCTCTGAGCCGGGTATATGTCTTTCTACAGGATACAGAGCAGAGACGTCTAATATCCTATCGTGGCACTGCAGCAGAGATATCGTTTCAGAACTGTCAAGATTATTCACACGTCTTCGGAAGGGCGACCCTCACTACCGCAGTATATAATTGACTACTCTTTAGCATCGACCTGTCCTTGCGGTGTCGAAAGAAGCTCAGAATGCCCGAGGAGCTTAACCTCCTCAAGACTTCAGCACACTCCGCCCTCGAGCTCCCGGGTCAAGTCAACCCCAATGCTGGGGGAGATGCTATTTTATTATTATTGGGAAAAAGGAAAGAGCCTTATCCACGAGGCGTGATAAACCACAGCCGCTGTCTGAGACGGTAGCAAATAATTTAGTATTGAGCGGAATTTGAAATTACGATCTTGAATGTCAGAGAGCCAGGGAACTTCTCAGCCGGTGACTGATTGTATGGATCCTAAGGGTGCGCTTCTCGCAGCTTCATTATTTCACTGATGAAAATATATTTAAGAGTGCAGACTTTCTTTAAATAACGGACAATAAATGCACTTCTGAAACCTGTGTTTCATCTCCATGTGCATGTTTGTTTCTTCAAGTAATCTTGGGTGAATGAATATTTCACTTTTGAAGGTCTTTCAATGATATTATTTATATTTTTGGCTTCTCCTTTTGTTCCTGTTTTGGATTTTGAGATCTTTATTCCCATACCTTTTCATTTGGCTGAACTCGGAACGCATCTGCAGAGCTATATACAAAGTATAATGTTTTATGTTCTCTACGGTTTTTCCTCTACTGCGACACCTTCCATTGTCTGACCGAATATCAACTAATAGGAGCGTAGCAGGTATAACCCATGCTACCGGCTTTGAGTTGGTTATTGAACCACAATCGAAATTTTTTTGAAAGGTTTGAACGGTTAGATAGAATGGATTGCTTTAGCATAGCTGCAGTCCCACCCGCCGGACAAGAGAAATTATTTGTGGTTATACATGTCTGTGTATATGTACACTACTATCCACGAATGCTTTATTTATTTTTTGTTTCCAGTATCGCTTTTGCTGTTCTACTCTGGTAAATGCAGAAACTGGTGGCCTTATTGCACTTTGGATTATTTCTGACATAGCTCCCCTGCCCATGAGTCGACGACTCCTAGTTCTGGAACAGTGAGAAGGGAAGATGTTTAACAATCGTGCAAGTATGGGCTTTTCCATATATGTCTCTGCATGTCTTTGACTGTCATTGCATTTATTGGTAGGAAGGGAGGCAAGTCCACGGGTTGCTGCAGATGAAGAAATCCAAGCCATCCATGGGTGGCTTGCGTGTCTTGCCTGAGGATTCCCAAGCCTTCCTGGCAGCTATGCCACATACCATTCGTTAAAAATGGGAAGAAGAAAGAACCTCCTTTTGCAGAGATCAAATCTTAACATTGTCACATATGCTCATGGATAGACAAATGGGAAACAGGATGCAGAAGCATTCACTGCCGCGTTTAAATGAGAGGGCAGAGAAAAAGGGATCAGGAGAAGCCGCGGAAGAGGAGATCCTCGCAATGCAAGAATGCGTGAGGTTGATTGTGAGAGATTCTTGAAGAAGTTATTGGAGCAGCAGCAACAGCAGCCCCCAGCATCAGGGACTACAATCATTGTCTCCCAGGAGTGATGTCAGTCACCATCAACACCACCTCACCCCTGTGAGATCTCACATACAAACTGCAGCTAAAGCCCAGAATGTGCAGTCCACAGGGAAGTCTGAAGATTTCGTGACTAAGAAGTCTGCTGCAGCAACTACAAAAACAGGAGCACCTCTTCCTCAATTAACACAGGTGTCTCTATCTCAACCTCAACCTTCTTTGTCATTATTTTCATCATCATGATATCATTTTCTTCTTCTTCTTCTCCTTCTCCTTCTCCCTCCTCATCTGCTTTATCGTTTTCTTCCCTCCTTTGTTCTTCTCATATTCTCCCTCGTCCTCCTCCACCAGTTTGCCCTGTAAGAACTCCTCATGGCATTGACAAACAAGAGTAGGTTGCATATCTCATCTGTTGACTTATGTCTGATTTACTTCTGCTTTCATCCTTGCTCTCATTCACCAAGTCATCGTACTTTCACTTCTTGTCTTGTGCCCTTGCATCCTTCACTTTCGTGCAATAAACATTGTATTACCAGTTTTGTGAAAGATAAATTGTTCTGATGTCAGTTCCCTTGATCCAGCTCACACCCCACTCCGCCAAACATAATGGCGCATCGTTCTAGGCGCGGGGGTAACCTTCGCATTCGTCGCGGACGAGGAGCTAATAACCCTCGACCGCATAGAAGATTAGGAGGCAGGGTTCCATGCTGTAGGAACATGGTTCAGATAAATGGGGAGTGGGCCTCTTGGGAGTCACTATCGGTCACACTCTCTGGTCTGCCTACAGACATCGACACCTTTACAGTGTGGAAATCCTTCTCTGCTCATGGGACAGTCGACTACATTGAGTTGTTCGAAGATGCCAGAGGAAGAAGAGAAAGAAGAGGGATAGTCCGGTATAGGTACGTTCATGATTCCAACATGTGCCTTTTTGCTAGCTAGCTACAGACAATATGCTGATGCTATGTTGCTAACATATTTATATTAGGCCGCCACCTCAAGAGCCATTTTGGCTACGGCCTTTCCGTCTAGAACTTAGGGACGGTGAAGTTGCCAGTTTGAATGTCCATTTAGATATGCAGAGACCCGCTTTGTGGATCAACAGCCCTATTCAACCAGGGGTGAGGTATCCCACTGCGACTGTAAGTTGACATCTGGTGAAATATTGAGTCCACACTAATAGTTCGTAGGAGCTTCCAGCAATGTGGGTAGAATTTGGTACAATGTTAGGTGAAAAGTCCTTCCTCCCTCTAAGAACATTTGATGTAAGAGGGAACAAGGGTATTCATCTTGTGGTCGATGTCTCATGCCGAGATCTGAGCATATATGTTTATGTCCCAATACTCTCTGTAACTCATAACCACGGACCAAGTTTCTTCCGTTTTCGCGTTCCATTTTTCCAGTTATCTACTATCCTAAAAGAAGAGCAGCCGGAGGGGTTCTCTCTGGTGGTCCCTCTGAATTCGCCAGCAAGTTGTCATCGACAGGCTAAATTCTTGACGGATGCACACTTCCCGCCTGATGAAAATGCCTGGAACTCAAAGGACACATGGTCCCGCCAAACTGATATCGTACATTATCCCGAGAACCGCGCTCCCACGCCCACCAACTTGCGCAAACAAAATTCTTATATTAACTTTGGTAAGTGGCCAGTACCCTAAATGCTCGATTCAGATTTTACTCACCTGTCTTACAGGGCGCTGGACGACATTTCGGATAGGGTTTAATCAGTATGCTGTACATGACGGCAACAAGCTGGACATTATTACCAATATTTTCAAGGATTTCAATATCAATTTCCAAGCGGCAGACGGCTTTGAAGTTATTAAAAAGACCGAACCTATCCCTACCGTATGGAAATGGATTGACACTCTTTCCACGCACAGGTCAGGGCCCATATCTTCTCTGGAAGCTTTGGCAGACAGTGAGTATACTCCGCTTGAATTCGCTGTTAGGTATTATTTGGAGGTGTGCATATCTTATCGGTACCTCAATGAATACGCGATCAAAAAAAAGTTTGTTGATGAGCTGGCTCGGATCGGAGAGAAGAAGGCCAAATATCTTCTCGAATACGTTGATTCGAACAAGATTGCATATTACGATCCCATGAATATATTCAACATTCGAGTCCCCAATTTTCCTGATAGAGCAAATAATACCAGGACACCAGTAGGTTGCTGTTATATGAGATCCGCTGAAGTTACTCCCTCCACTATTTATTACAAACCCCCTTCCATCGATACCGGAAATCGCGTCCTCCGGCGCTATCGGGAATATGCTGACCGCTTCCTCCATGTCCGGTTCACAGATGAGAAAAATATGGGCAAAATATTCCCCTACAGCAATGCTAACATCGTCTGTATGAATGAGGTCTATACGCGGGTAACGCTCACTATGAAGAACGGAATCACAATCGGAGACCGCTGCTATGAGTTCCTCGCATTTAGCAATGCCCAATTGAGGGAGCATGCAGCGTATTTCTTTGCTTCCCTACCACATCTAACAGCTGCGAACATCCGTGCACAACTGGGAAAATTTAATCAGATCAGAAATGTTGCCAAGCATGCAGCACGCCTAGGACAATGTTTTTCTTCAACCCGCGCACTTAATGGGTGTCCAGTACAAATAGTGGAAATTGACGATATTGAGAGAAATGGTTACACCTTCTCAGATGGAGTTGGTTTGATATCAACGTTTTTGGCCCAGATGATCCAAAGCGAATTTGCTATTGAAACTCTGTCAGGAGAGCCACCATCTGTCTTTCAATTCCGTCTTGGTGGTTGCAAAGGTATTCTCACCGTTTCCTCAAAAGCGCACCGACGTGAAGTGCATATTCGAAAGAGTCAATACAAATTTGCAGCCCCACACAATGGCCTTGAAATAATTCGGCATTCCAGTTTCTGTTTTGCATCTCTCAACCGCCAGCTTATTATTGTTTTGTCTTCCCTAGGAATTCCTGATGAAATATTTGTCAAGAAACTCCAGGTCATGCTGGAAAATTTGGAGCTGGCAATGACCAGCCAGGAGCAGGCTGTTAATTTGCTGCAAACTTACGTCGATCCTAACCAAATGACGTTGGTTCTCGCGGATATGGTACTGGACGGGTTTCAACAATCCCAGGACCCTTTTGTCACATCGCTACTTGAGTTGTGGCGTGTGTGGCAGATCAAATATCTCAAGGCGAAGGCAAAAATTGCAATTGATAAGGGGGCCTTTTTGCTCGGCTGTCTTGATGAGACTGGATCCCTTAAGGGGTATTTTCGCAGTAAACGACCAGGAGGCGGCGCAACGTATGAGCAAAAGTTGGATTGTCTTCCTGAAATATTTGTTCAGATTTCGCGGCATAGTGAAGATACATATGAAGTAATCGAAGGCCTTTGCATTCTTGCGCGAAATCCATCATTGCACCCAGGAGACATACGTGTTGTCAAGGCTGTCGATATCCCAGATCTACACCATCTCAAAGACGTTGTTGTGCTGCCCCAGACTGGGGATCGAGACATTGCAAGTATGTGTTCTGGAGGTGATCTGGATGGTGATGACTACGTTGTCATCTGGGACCAGGATTTGCTGCCGAAGGACTGGTTTGAGGAACCAATGGACTATTCTGCGCCCAAGTCAGAAGTTCTAGATAGGGATGTCACTGTTGATGATATCATCAAGTTTTTTGTGAGCTATATGCAAAATGACCGCCTTCCTCAAATTGCCCCTGCACATCTCGCGATAGCCGATTATTCAGATGATGGAGTCCAGGACGAGAAATGCCTTCGACTCGCAACCCTGCATTCCGCAGCCGTCGATTACAACAAATCGGGAATGCCCGTTCATATGAACCGGGACCTTAAACCCAAAAAGTGGCCACATTTCATGGAAAGAAAGTTTGCAAAGAAAGACTCACAGTATACATCTCGGAAAATATTGGGTCAACTGTATGACATTGCCGGTGGTGTATACCTCAATTTACAACCCCACTCTGCTAAAAGAAGGCTGCCATTCGATCAGCGGATTTTAAACGCAAATTTTGAGATTGATGATAAACTATTAAGTTTCGCAAAAGAGCTCAAAGCGGAATACGACGCTGACATACGGCGGATTATGGCACAACATGAGATCCAGAGTGAAGAAGAGGTTTGGTCAACTTTTGTTTTAAGTCATGCGAATATGAGCAAGGATTACAAATTCCATGAAGAAATAGGTCTGATATCGTCTGCACTGCGTCAAAAGTTCCGTATGCTTTGTCACGAAAAAGCTGGAGGAAAGGACTTCAAATCTTTAGCGCCGCTTGCCGTAGCTATGTATCGGGTGACTAGCGAGCAAATGGAAAAAGCGAAGGCAGCACATTCCCACTGCACTCTAGGAGAGGAGCAAAGGATGCCCCTCATCAGCTTCCCCTGGGTCCTCCAACCAATTCTAGGTATGATTGTAACTCAGCATTTCCACAAATCCGGTTCTGAGGGATTATCGGGGCATATTCAGGCAGAAATCTTGCACGGCTCCAAGCAAAGGAAAAATGTGGCAAATGTGTGTGCTTTAGGCGTCGAAACTGCAAAAGAAGTGAAAGGCGCTGCCAACGTTTTGCTTCTATTTGAGGATTCCAAATTTGATCCTTTTGCCTCTCTTGCCGAGGCATTTGACACACCGCAAATCTCTCCCGAACGAAAGGAGAATCAAACTACGGCAGCCTATAGTGACATTTGGGTCAAATGGGTTTTTTTGTGTTTTTCCACTGTAATTACTTAATTCCACTTATAGACACTCACCAATAGAGATTTATATGAGGATTTGTCTGTTGCAGAAACATCTCATTTCATTCTGATTAAGCTAAGAAAAAAATCAAATCAAAAAAACAATCAAAAAACAATCATTTTCCTGGATATCATCAAAAAATCAAAATGAAAAATCAAAAAAAGTGAAAAAAGTGAAAACTACTAATAACCATTTCCACGTCCTGGGATGCGACTGCCTGTCATGATTTGTCGCAACCTCTGCACCAATTTCATATCCCTTTCCTGGATGGTAACACGTTTGGCATGGATGGCGCATAGATTTGTCACTAACATCTCATTGATTAGTATAATGATTAGTAGATTAGCTTGTAAAATCCAGTCATTTCTTACTTGTGAATTCATCAATCAAAACCGCCTCTGCAGCCTCCTGCAAAGCCAGAATTGCAGATGCTTGAAATCGAAGATCACCATATATATCTGCTGCAATTTCACGGACAAGACGCTGGAATGGGAGCTTGTGAATAAGAAGCTCAACATCACGCTGATAACGGCGGATTTCACGGAGAGCAGTGGCTAAAATAATTAAATTAGATATTCAAATTCAAAAAATCTATGAATATACTTTTACTTACTGCCAGCTTTTCGACGATAGCGACGTCGAGGTTTCACATGAGCCACATGCTGTCCTGGAGGATGCTTTCCCCCCTTTCTTGCCTTGCTGGCTATATTTTTTTTTGCCCCTCTCTGTTGAACACATTTTCTTGCAGTCATTTTGGTACGAGCCATTTTTGCGTGGATTTGATGATTCTAGCTGCTTATTTACTGATTAGTATAATAACTAGTATAAAAATGAACTGTAGCTCACTTACATTGCTGAAACAAGAAGATAATTTAAAAAATTTCTGCAGGGGGGGGGGGGGGGAGGCGTGTAGAATGAGATGGATGAAAAGATTAAAAGATTGGAAAAGAAAAAGAGCAAAAAGATAAGATCTTTGAAGTGAGAGTGCGGTTATGTGTGCAGTTATGTGCAGTTGATGAATAACACAACAACACAAGCACGCTCAAATAGGCAATCAAGTGAACACAACAACACATCACAAAGAATATCAACATTGATTTTCAATTCTTTCAATTCTTCTTTCTCCTGTCTCACTACTTCTGCTCTGCTGCCTGCCTGCCTTTTTATTCTATCAATCATTGTATCAATCAACTATTTCCTGCGCCAGATTCTTTGTTTCCCACTTCCAAGATCAGTTTTTTTCTCATCCTATCAAAATGACACGCCGCGGACCAAAGCCTGGAGCCACAGCTGGCCAGAAACGAAAAGCTGAAGAAGAAATGTCGATTAACCCTCACACAAAAAGAGCAATGAAACAAAGGGAAAAAATGAATGAGGAGGAGGCCACTATTGAACGGGCGAAGAATGCAGATCGTGCAGCAGTAAATTATCATATTCGACAGCTGAAAAATACCGATGCATTCAGAGAGGCAAATACTGAGGATCAAAAGAAGATGATTGAGGATAAAAGAACAGAGATCATGAATAAAAGGTAGTTAACAAATCTTGAAATCTTGTTAATATAAATATTAATAGAATATAGACTTAGCACCGGGATTACAGCATCGATGCTGGAGCAGAGACAGGAAGATATCTCAAAACCAAGTGAAAAGTAAGTTCTATATTCTACTAATCATTATATTAATCATTCTAATGATTTATCACAGGCTTGCCGCATGGAATCATTTGTTAGATTCTGAGGACACCATGCAAGAAGTGAAATGGCGGCTGGAAGATGAAAAACGGTTTGGTAAAGAAAATATGCCAACTGAGGAAGATTCCCGGGCTGCGTATGAGGAAGGGGTGAAACTGATGAAAAAAGGAGGAAGTCTTGCTGCTGTTTTATACAAGCAGTGGATTCTCTCATGGAAAGATATCAGCAATTCTCTTTTTCAAAAATTCCGACATCATTCTTTCAACAATACTGCCAGTCATCATCGATTTTTAAAAAAAATTTCAAATCAGGAGCTTTCTGTTTTGAAAATGCTGCTTTGTGCAGAACAAATTGACTCAAATTTGGCAAAGAGATGGTGGAGTGAGCAAAAGACTGAAGATTCAGAAAAGGATATTGATGCTCGTAAACAGGCTCATAGAGCCTTGAAAGAGGAAATGACTCCAGAGGAATTTATGCAAATGAGATGGAGCCCGGATGAGTGCATGCTTTTTAAGTCTGAAAGTTGATTTTTTTTTTTTTGTTTTTATGATTATAGCAATCATTCTACTAATCTGTTTTTTGTTGAAAAATTTTTTTATATTAAAGCAAGCTAACTTAGTTAGTTTAGTACATTATCTGTTTGTTTTGATTTTCTTATTTACTTTTTTTATGATGTTATAATATTATCAATTTTTCATTCATTCATTCATTCTTTCTTTCTTTCTTTATTTCTTTATTTTAGAATGATGAATACTTTTTCTTTCACTTTCTTTTAAAATGCCTCCATCTGGTTATTCATATCTTCTTTCTCACAAAGATCTTATTATTAATCTTCATCAACACAATCTAACTCAACAAGATATTATCTCTCAATTGAAACGAGATCATAATCTTGAAGTTAGTCGATCAACTCTTGTTCGTTGTCTTCGAAAATGGAATGTTAGAAAAACCAAGAAATGGGAAGCTGATGAATCAATTCACAATCTTATTCAAGAATTGTTTTCACGAGGCTTGCAGGATGCTGATATTCTATCAGTTATTCAACAAAAGCATCCTGAGTCTCAACTCTCTATACGTGAGCTTCGTCAAATTCGGCAGCAATTGAAACTTCATCAGCGAAGAGATGACTATGAGAGTGATGAGATGCAGAAAGAGCTTATATCTACTGTACAGAAAGAGCTTGACAGTGGATTTATTCAGGGTTTTGGAAGAGGACATCTGTACACCCATTTTAGGCAGCAGGGGCATAGCATTTCACGGTATGTTTTGATTAATATAATGATTAGTATAATACTAATAAAATCAGAGATCGTCTATTCAAAACAGTTCGGCTTCTCGATCCAGATGGAATTACACGTCGGCTAAATGATCTCCAACGTCACCGAGGATCCTACATTGTTCCCGGACCAAATTATCTTTGGTCTATTGATGGTTATTGCAAGCTTCAACATTGGGGAATCGAAATCTATGCAGCAATTGATGCATATTCTCGATATATAGTGTGGATATATATTGGAATCACAAACCGTACTGCTGTTTCTGTTCTTCGACAATTTCTTGATGTTCTACAAGCAACCGATACATTTCCTCAGGTTATTCGTTCAGATAGAGGAACCGAAACTTCAATGATTGCAGCTGCACAACACAAACTACATCAAGCAACTGATTCAAATACTTCTTTGAATGAGTGCTATCGATTTGGAACAAGTACACTAAATCAACGAATTGAATCTTGGTGGGGACAACTTGCAAAACAGTTGGCAAATTACTGGAGAGTATGAAATTCCATATTCTTTCTACTAATTATTATACTAATCTTTATGCTAATCTTCTCTCAGCGCTATTTTCTGAATCTCAGTCATACAGGTCTATATCACACCAATAAATTATCTGATCGTATTGCCTTTCTCGCTGTATATATGCCAATTATTCGACAAGAGATGACAAACTATGTGAGAGTCTGGAATAATCATCGAATTCGAGCTCAACGTAAACGACCTGATGGGGTATATGGACAGCCCTGGAAGCTCTATTATCATCCTGATAATGCATTACAGCATGGCTTAAAACCAGATTCACAAGTGCTTTCAGAACTTCACATGCACTTTGAAAACTGGGGTATGTAATATCTTCATTACTAATATCTCTGTTGATCTAATATTATAGAGATACTAATACTTGACAGATATTAATGAGTATCTACCACTGGAGACAAAGAATTGGTGTCAGAATCAGATTTCAAAATTGGGATTTTCTTCTGGAAGAGTCACTGCTGCAGCTGTCAATGAACAGGGTGAACGTATACATAAGATAATATATCTTCAGCTGCGAAAACTTGTACATGATCATATAAGATTTCAACAAGTTCCTATTCTACAGGAATCTGAAAAGCCAACTGGTGCTTGGGACTGGCTGACAGAGCGATTGCAGGAGCATGAGATGAATTTTGATAATGTGATGGAAATGAAAATCTATGATGAGAATAGTGAGAATAGTGAAGATATCAAGCCTGATATCTCTGATGAGAACAGTGAGGATGTTAAGCCAGATGTATCACAGATGTAATTAGATTGAATATGAATAAGTATTCTACTAAGTATTCTACTAATATTCTCAAGAATATACTTTTTAAGTTTGTTACTATAACAATTATTCTATAAATTTTATATTGTAGTGCTACATGAATTTTGAACTAGATATATATATATATATATATATATATACAATGTATGTACACCGGACACACAGAATATATGTATTCATATACTCAAACACTCTATAACTTGAAAATTATAATCATATATAGTTATATATTCCAATCTAAAGTTATTGACAGTATTAAAATATATATCAATAAACAATTTTCTTAATTGATACAGAAATATTCTGTAGTGTGTACACTGTAACTAACTCTTTGAAGATATTTTATAATATTACTCATCATGTCTAACACTCCCAAAGCAGTTAGCTATTATACTAATCATTATACTAATCAGGTTACCGAAATCCACACACACACACACACACACAATCTCTCACTCTCTTACCCTCAAAAACAGATATATATATACACACACTCAAATTTTCCTGTTCTTCTCTTTGTTGTTTATTATCATCTTGATTTACTTCACTATGTGGACACCATTCTGCCCCAATCGTCCTGGATTTTCTCATGAAGCACACTGTAATAGTGAAGCTGCCTGTCCTTATTGTGGCAAAGCCAATCCATCCACACCAAAATCCTCCATCATCTCTTCAATAAATGATGAAATCATTGTCATTGAAGATAGTCCCAGTCCTCCAGCTCTGACACCGTCACTCTCTGCCACAATTCTTGATCCTGGACCTCCTCAACGAGCACGTCAACTGGCCATTCAAAAAACACAAAAAGTTCAACAAATGACCCCCAATGCTGGTACACCAGTTCAACGTACATCACCTATAAAAGAACCTGCGATCAAACCTGAGCTGAATCAACTATCCTCCTTGCAAAAATCCTACAAAATTCTTATTCATATTTGGAAGTGTGAATACAATGATGCCAAACTACAAACACACTATAACTGGGAGTCAATTCGAAAAATTCAAAATGAAATCTACTCAGATTGTGTGTTTTTCACAATGGAGGATTTTCTAGAAATCATCACTGCCAGACTTGATACAGCCTGGAAGAATATTCTTACAGTTGTTTCTCCAGTTGATGTATTCATTTCTGCCTCAGTTACAGGAAAGGATGGTGCAGTTATGCTCACTCCTGATGTTTGGATGTTGGATTTGGAAAAGTTATTGAGTTCATTTAAGAAAGTGCACTCATCAACCTCAACAACTACAATTATTCACATTTGTCTTGTTACCTATGATGAGTCCAATCACCCCATCGAACAACTGTCGGAACCAAAGAATATCAAAGTCAAATCACCAGATATCAAAGTCAAAGAAGAGAATACCTCCGTATCAGTGATCAAACGCGAACGTGCTTTCTCAGTTGATTTACCCATTCTAAATCTTATCCAACGAAGACGGCCGTCCCCAATCCCTACAAAATCTGAAGACAAAGTTAATGAATTGAAGACAATGAAGCTTGAAAAGGATCTATTGTTCAAGTGGGAGAAGCTGGAATCAGAGACAGAGGAGGAAAATATAAAGAAGGAGATGGAAAACACTGTGACAGAGATGGAAAAGAGTCATTCTGATGAAATTGAAACACAATCAAACTATCTTGACCCACCTGCAAATGGGACAAGATTTCGGCATCAGCGTCGAGAGTGATTGATAGAATGATTGATAGATTCTTTTGACCTCAGAGTTGAGGGTGATTAGTAGAATGTTTGATAGATTTTAGTATGCGCTGTAAAGATTGATACTAATGTGAAGAATTATTTTGCTAGCTATTATTCTCATAATAAGTCTTATTTCTCACAGATCTATTCTTGCCCCTATTCTTACCCCTATTCTTACCCCTATTCTCACCCCTATTCTTGTCACTCATGTAATCAATAGAGTTAGTGTGCCTTGATCACAAAATTTTCTTACACAGAGGAGCTATAATCAACAAGCTCTATTTGATTACAAATTAAATGAATATGATTGGTGCGTGTTCATGGTAACACTAGTATAAAAACCATCAAAAAAACCCATTTGACCCAAATGTCACTATAGGCTGCCGTACAAACCCACCCAACCCCGACAGAGGGCGACGGGAAATATGGTGACCTGGGTTTGTTGGTTGATCTTACCGATGATATCAACTTGTCATCTACACCGAAAGAGAGCCTAACAATACCGGAGCTGGAGCCAACCACGCTTTACAGAACTTTTGTAAATAGTCCCATTGATTTAGATCTGTTAGGCCTCGAATCGATTTTGCAGAACCGCATGGCCCCAGCTTCTTTGGGGGCTATTCAAAAAAAAACCCAGGGCCTGAAGCTAGATGCAAGTATGAAAGAAAACGATCCAAGAAGCACGCAATCCAGTGATCCACTCATGACGGCTGGAACCCAGGAAAACGAGGAAGTAGAGGAAGAAGAGGAAGAGATTGTCGAGTTTGAATCGAGCCCGCGGCCTACCGCATTGGAGGAGTTGGAGGAGCTGTTGGGGATGGCATGACGATGATTTCCAAAACAAGAGCAAAATGCCAGTGCGCGCGGATGGGGGAGTTAGTTCTTGTTTAACTTAATTTTTTTTTTAAAAAAAATCTCTGATGGTGGATTTTCTCCGCATTCTTGTCGGACCCTTGGCTTTTGCCAGCTGTTTTTATGCGCCGCCATAGTAGAGGAACTGTTGGCAGTTTGCTGCTCATATAGTTAACTAGTTATTTGAAAACTTTGAAAACCTTGAAAGACAAATTATAGATAAAGTTCATGCGTACCATCAACGTAGGAGAAGTTAAAAAATTGTCGAGATATTTAACTAGCCTTCTCTTTGGTTATTTATCTTCATTCTTTGTTTCTCATGAATTTACTCTCAACTTGAGTGTTCAGACTTTGACAATACAACTACTACCCGATGTCAAAAGTGATAAAAATTCCAGCGGACTCTTGTGCATGTGAAAACCTTGTAAAAATCTATAGTTACCTGCAACATAAATCCAAAGGAATACAAACCCCGAGTAGTAATTATATACCGACTTGTACGCTGGACGAATCACCACCTTTCTGTTCTAAATCAAGAGAAAGAAAAGGGGCAGAAGAAAAGGGAATATGTCCCCACCAACTGCCCCTCTCCTTGCGCCTTATACAGCATCACCATTCCCAGCCCAGTCACTGACCCTTATCACGTCAGTTCTTGGGGCCACCAGTAACTGGCTGGTGCTGAGGATTCTACACGATGCTCTGTTGAACTCAGGCAATGGTGTGTGCGAGGATGAGCCAGGGTTTGATACCGGAAGAGAGGCGAGAAGGGGAAAACGGCGGGTGGTTCTTGTGAGTTTTATCAGGGGTTGGGAGTTTTGGAGAGGGGAGGCGAGGAGGTTGGTATGTATTTCTTGAATCTGCTACTGGTTTCTGTTACCACTTGGAGTCTGTGTGGGATTTTGTTTTGCCACATATTTAATTCTGTTTTTCAACTGTGAGAATTTGATATGCTCCATGGAGCCTGTTCATATGCTCGTGGGGCACGCCTATTGCTGCTGTCAGGTTCTCGCCATCTAGGAATGGTGATTTAAGACTGCATGCAATGTTCTTTCATCCGCTCTATATGGTGAAATCCCGTTTCTTATATGATATCCAGTATACTGATAGTTCACCCAGGGACTCGACCTCGCCAGACTATCCAATGAACGCAGCTTCAATTTCGTAGACGGGGTTTCGGAATTCTTCTCAGCATCAATTCCATCTCCGCCAGCGATAAGCAGCGCTTCAACAATATCCTCCCGGGCACCGTTACACCCCCCTCAGCATGTCTGGGGACCATTGCCAACTACCTGTCCCACAACAACTACGAGCCTGCACAAGAGCAGCAGCAGCAGTAGCGGCACAAGAAAGCTTCGGTGGTCGAGCAGGAGTAACGCTGGCCTAGATGCGCTGGAATACGAGATTGCTTCTGCCATCGATGACCTCACCAGTACCTCGTCATCAGATGAACAGCCAATGGAAAATGAGATTCTCCTTGTGGTTGATCAACCGGATTTGCTGTTGGCTGCTACAGGGCCAAGAATGGGTGTTGGGGCAGTGGAGATGGGTGAATTTTTATTGGGATTACGGCAGGTATGTTATATCAGAACGAAGGTATCTTCGATTACATTCTAGCAATCTATGCGGCTGTGGGGTCCATCATGAGTTAATTGTTATAATTCTTAAAGCGGGTTCATTCTACAGTCGTTACTCTGGCCGCAGATTCACCGTTGATACATACGGAATTTTCAGGGTCGGTGCAGCAACAGTCAACACCACTTGAGACTGAACATGCCTCTCTAGTCGTTGGAGTGGCACATCAAGCTAGAGTGGTCATGCAGCTGAGAGGTTTAGATACCGGTGTTGCGCTGGATGTGAGCGGTGTGCTACGGATTAGTAAAGGGGGCGGATGGGTCCCGGAAAAAGGGGAAGTGAATGGGCACAGTCAGACAGGCTTGGAGGAGAGGGAGGTGTTGTACTTTGTGCAAGGGGATGGCGCGGTTCGTGTTTTCGGAAGAGGCGAGTGAGTATATGAGACAGAGATACCACGTGGTATTCAATCTGGTATTATGAGAAAGATCAAAATTCAAGTAATCGTAGGGTTAAGAGGTAATCCAGTGTTGTGGGTTATTGGAAATTTTATCGATGTTTCGACATTGGGGAATCAGTAATATGCAGCATGCGCTTTGAAATATGACCAAGCCGAACTAGAACGAACTTGAAACAAACCACTTCAGTCGCAAAGCTCATGTCATTAATATATTCATGTACATGGCGCATGCCATATTTTTATGATTCCCCGTGGATATCTTCCCATCTCCATCAGGCCCCTCGAGTTGTTTGCCCTTTTTGAATGTTGATAGCACGCTAGAAAAAAAAATGGTAAACACCTCCGAATAGTTAAATCAATTCCGGCCATCCATTCTAGGCTGGAATATTATTGGAAGCCCTTCCTTCAACAACCCGCAACTTAATGCTTCTCAGGCCCCCGAGCGCCCTTTGGAGTGCCAGTTTGGAATCCATTCTTGAATCTGCGGTCAACAGTTTTGAGATATCGCATGCGTCCAGTACCGGTGGTTCTTCGTCGGAGCGCCTTCTCGCCCCAGTTGTCTATTGATAGCAGAAAGATTCTTGTAAGTAAAAATCCCAATTCTCTCTTTTATTTTTCGGATGTCATTTTATGCCATCTGTCTGCCAAATTTCTCCGCTTCAACTGGTCAAATGTATAGTTTATTGGGTTGAAAACGTACACTTCCGGGTCTTAGCGGACGGGTAGCCGCAAGACGAGCATGTGTGCTTCTGGATGTGGAGAGAGCGACGACCTATAACGAATTGTTCCAGAAAAACTTTTAGTTATCCCTCTCCGCAAAAATTTCCCCAATACAAATTCGATGGTTCGATTGGACGCCCCATATCCATCTCCATTCTCAATCAACACATTCCGGGTATAAACTAACCGCAACGTCTGCACAAAGTATGAGTTTTGTTATGGCGCTTGCCAAAGCTGGAAGTTCCCTTCGCTAATATTATGTCAGTTATAATCCAACTACTAAACAGGTCGAGGAGCTGGTTTTTCCAGGCTATCGGCGTGAAGGAGTCCGGGCAACGTACTCATCTTGAAATAAGGACTCTAATTGGCAGAATGTTAGCAAACAGCACGCGCATGGACTCTGGCGCAAAAATGCAAAACAGTTCTCTCACCTGGAATACTGCGTCTACAAGCGCTGGTCGTTGTCGTTGTCGTTGTCGTTGTCGTCGTCGCTGGGCGTTGGATCGAAGTTCAACGCTCGGGAGTTGCTAAGCGAACCGTTGTGTAGGGTTTGGATTAACACGTGATATCTTTCTCTTTGGGAGAGTAGTATCACGTGTTAATTTAAACCCAAACACGCCAAGACAGATGCAAACATTGTATATCAGACTCTTCACTTTCAAATCTACGAACTTAAACACGATTAACTAACTAAACGACTCCAATTGCCGACCTCAATAACGCACACGTAAAGATGGGTCGTGTTTTGCAAAAGAGGAAAAATTGCTCAGGTGCCCCAAGAGTAAAACAAAAAGCGAACCGCCTGAAAAATGGGAACAAGAAAATCAACCTTCTCGGGAACTCTATCATCGCTCAGAACTGGTAAATATGTCCCTTGATAAGCCGATTGCCTCCGCCACAATTACATTACCATTAATAATTACCGTTTCTCATTTACAATCTGTGCCAGTCTAACATTTGTAGGGATAAAAAATTAACCCTCACCCAGAACTATCGCCAGCTCGGCTTAGCATCCAAGCTCAATGCTACCACTGGCGGGGCGGAGAAAAGGCTCGACACTTCAGTAAATGACCAACCATGTGCAGATCCTTTACATGTCCTGTCCTCCTCGACTGTAAAGAAACTAAAACCGACGGAAGCCCGGGTCGAAAGGGACCCCGAAACGGGGAAGATCCTCCGTGTAATTTATCCGGAGGATGATGAACGAGTGGAAATTGCGGGCAGAAAATGCCGGAAAACCAACCCACTGGAAGACCCGCTGAATGAAGTTGGGAATATTGACTATGGCGATGGAGCTATGAGTATCCCGACTAGCATGACTTCATCGGCAGTTGTTCAGGCGTTGGAGCGGCAAGCCATGTTGGAAGAGGAGGCATTGAAAAAGAAGCAGCCAAGACAGCAGAGCAAAGGTGAAGAAGAATGGCTAGAGAGATTGGTAGCGAATCATGGCGACAATATTGGTGCTATGGTTAGGGATAAGAGGTTGAACCCCATGCAACAGACGGAAGGGGATATAAAACGGAGGTTAAGAAAGTGGAAAGAAAGACGGGGGATGAAGATGGGGAGGGCCTAATGTACGCAGTACAAGTGGCCTTTTTGGAGAATTTAGTAGATGGATCGGCTGGTTTTATCATGGCGTTATACTGGGTTGGGACTTCTTTTGTTCATATTCATAGGCAGTTATATATTGCACAAAAATACCTAAACATTTCAAGCCCTTTTGGATTTGGATATTTCTACGTTGGCGAAAGAACAAGCTTGATATGTCATATTTGTACTGACCGATATCAGCGCCTCTAGGTTCCTAGGTAGCTCTCATTTTTGTAGTGGCAGCTTGCATGCTACTGCTGTCCAGTGGACAGCTTTTGCCGGTGGTATTTTGTGCGGAAAGTATCCTATTAAGGTTTATGTATATACATTCATTAGAACTTATCATTTCAACGGCTGAATTCATAAAATTCCAAGGTTTTATGTATATTCTGGATTACACTATGCCAATAACATGTCATTATATAGGGTTGGCTAAATATCTGAAGCAATCGCTTTGATGCTGGCACAGAATGAAATATTACATGAACGAGTATGAAGATTCCAGTATAAAATAAAATGAATCATATTTCTAATGAAATTCAACTTCATTTTCTCTGCTTCATTATTATAGAAACTAAAATCACTTAAAGTAATGCAATTGTTTGTTTGATGAGCTTGCTCAAAAGTTGTGGTCAGGAAGTATATTGATGCTGTGTAGCAATGTAGTAATCTATATCTACAACACATTCACAACTTGTTTATATATTATGATGAACATATCATTTAATAATGGTTTCTTAATTACTTCCTTTTCACTCCCTTTCAACTTTGTAATTCTTGCTCATGAAATTATATGATGCTCATCTCTCTGTTCTACTACAATTGTGTCTTGTCTTGCTCACTTCTCCAGTTGAGATTACTTTGTTTTCTCATTGTTGACTATAACAGACATTCTGAAGTAACAATACCTCCAAAATGGCTGGGATATTGGTATCTCGGCTTCTCGCAGTTCTTACCATGATCTGCAACGTTTCCACTGCACAATCATATGTGGCCCCAGGCAGAGACAAGACCTAGTATTTGAGGGAAAGAAAACTGATTAAAAACATACGACAATATAACTTTGAGCTTCCGACTCCAAACATTGCAAATGGGCTGCAATGCGTCTTTGCTAAAGGAGATTTCTGCAAAGAGATCCCTGGCAAGGATCAGACACCTTTCCTAACCAAAATGCATCGGGGATGAGCAGCTAATAAAAATTGACTGCCGTGAAGCGCATGTTTCTCCCCGGCATGAGAACAAGATATATCATGAAAAAGGAAGATACTAATAGTAAAATTCCAGGAGCAAAAACACCAGCCCCGGCGGTATAAAACAAGAAGAATACTGTAAGTTCCCAAATACCAACATGGGAACCGCACAAATGACGAAACAAAAAAGAATTCTCTAATTTCAACACATATGGGAAACAAAAACAATAGGAGCAACATCCTCGAAAGCTGCCACAGGCGCCGTCTGCGTGTTGAACGGTGAGGAATATAGCGTTAACAAAGAAAAGGAGGTTAAATTAGAAGCAAGTGGCACCAGAACTTCAGATGAAGACAGAAACGCAACTGAAGCTCCAATCTCAACCTCGGCGTCTGCGACAGAGACTAACAGTGGTAACAAGACTTTTCGAATTGTCACTAGAACCACCAAAACAGCCCAAGTCTCATCGACAATGACATTTCCCCAGGGCACAACTGCGCCTTCATTGTCATCTTCATATTCATCTGCGCGTTCGTCTTCGTCATCTTCGCCTTTACCTTCGTCCTCAAAAGTAACAGCAACGATGATAAGATCACTCGCACGACCGATCTACCAACTACCACCATTTTGGAGTCCTCGTCATCGCTAGCAACGTTGCCCTCGACGGAGGATGCCACTGTTACGATTCATCAATCCGCAAGCTCAACAGCACCACGCCTATCACTCAGATCCACCTGTTTGGTATTGACATTCCTTGAGGAAATAGATTTCTTGGCTTTGACTAATTTGGATTAAGGCTAGATATCAGGCCAGCCTCCATGTTAAATAACCCCCCCTCCTTTTTTAATGGCCCGACATTATGGTTCTTTGGTTGAGAATGATAAATAGGGTATGCCATCGTGGAGTTGGCGAAATGGGACAAATATGCTACCTGCAAAAGGTTAGAATCTTTTTACGATTAGTTTCGTTCGTCTCAATTTCTAGAAATCAACGCTGGATAATGAAACATGAATATTTCATCAGAGTTCGTACTTACATACTTTATACATTTCCCAATGGTGGGATTGAGAGGAGTATTGTTCGGTACAACAATATTCCTGATATCCTCCCTGGGCAGGTGACTGTTTAGGACCGCAAGATCGGATAGGAATATCTCAAACCCGTGGATCTTGATTCTTAAACAGTTTACGTATATTGATACCGAGTGGCGTAGCGCATACATTTCCTTGTCGGGATCTCGAATGGTAATCACCAACATGCCTAACAAGCATCATATAAAACGTTGATACTATCGTAGGCAATTAAGTAGGTAAACGATTTACCCAGAATCAGAACCATTGTCACCGAGACTGATACGCTGCACCACCCTGACCCATCTCCTCCGTCTCCACTCTCCCATCCCGCTAGCCCCAGCAACACTCTCTTCGAAATCCTTTTTAACCAGCTTCCTCTTGCCCTTAGAGGTCCCCTTCTGTTCACTCTGGATAGTCTCCCTTCTCGTTTGGTAAACATCATCCCCATATGCTAAGTCGTCAGCATCATTATAGGCGTCCTCATCTGGAGGATGGAAAGGTAAGTCCCAAACCCAGCCCCCAACTTCCTCCCCGACTTCACCACAGCTGGAGTCGGGAACTTCAAATTCGACTCCCGTAATCATCCGCTCTATTACCCACTCGCGACATTCGAGGTCTAGTTGCCATTTTTTGCCCTTCCATTTCCATCCAGGTGGCGGTTTGACATCCTCGAAAAATCGGGTACCCCTTGGTCGATCGCCTGCAATGCGAGATGGAGATAAAGGGTCATTGGGTGTAGGTGTGAAGACGAATGGTTCCCATTCAAATGTTGCCGAATAAGGAGAGCGAGTTTTGTGTTGGAGTTCGAAAACTTCCACTTCTCGCTCCTCAGGATATGTATCGACGGAGATCGCAGCGGCCGATTTCAGTAAAGACACCAGCGCGGACGGTGAAGTGGGAACGGGTACTCCAAAAATGGTGAAAAAGGCATTGCTGGCTGTATCTCTAGCTTCCTCAGATGAACCTTCTATATGACGACTGAAAATCTGCATGAAAGCAACAACACTAGGGTTGCTTCCAATAATAACGGCGTTTCCACCAATAAGAAACAACATACGCCAAGGGATAAGATGAGCCGTTAGAAACAGAATAGCGGATAGAATAGTAAGCATGAGAAAAAGAGTAGATGATAAAACTTCGTTTGAGAAATTAGTAGCTGGGGACATGAGAGAGACAGTGGCATCGTGCAGGTTCGAAAAGTCTGCCATAATATTCTGGAGATCTCTCATATTGCGGAAAAAGTCCTTTGAAGTCTCTGAGGCTGGTTTTATGGTTTGCGCTGGGGCAAGCGCCGGTCCCTCATATGAGTAGTACGCAGTGGTGCTTGAGGTGGATGCCGAAGGAGGAGGCGGAGGATGGCGGGCAAGAAATCCAGGGACCATGATGAATAGCAGGAAGACAGCAAATGGAAGAATGACCAGTAAATACGGATCTAGGCAAATAAATGAATAAACAAAAAGAAAAGATAGGGTTTGGGTTGGTGTCCTCCAACTCAAAATATTAATCATACGTGCTTGGAACAGAAATACAATCCCGATTCTAAGAAATGGTTAGCGATAAAAGCTATCCGTCATCTGTCCATCATCTAGGAACTGCGCATAGGAGTGCTGTACCTAGCATTAAACCGGCGGAAATTATTACTCATTACAGGGAGGCTGAAAGCGGGCCGGTCAATCTGGACGGTCGAAGATTTCTTCGCCGTTGTGTAATCAGACTCCTCGTCAGATGCTTCCGCAGGTATAACCTGCTGCCATAGCCTAGATAATGTCAGTCGAGCTCTAGTATACAGCTACAGCACGATAAATCAAATTTTTACTTTGTTAGCAGCCTGTCCTGTAGGGATGGCCCGGCGCCCCAGTCCATCTTTGCCTTGGAATCCGAGGCCACGTCGTAGATTTTCTGCTTCAATCTCTGGGCGGAGAGCCTTGATCTGGTGGAATGTTCCCCCCCGGGCTTTTCAGCCGGGCCAGCGCACCCATCATTTGAGCCATGTTTAATCGAAAAGACTGGAATGGGGTCTTCACGATTGACAAATGCGTCTTCGGTAAACTCGTCCATGAAGATACCGACGAGAGTTAAATTCGAAGCCGCAAGACGAGGACCTGAGAACTTCAGAAAATTATAGAACCTGTCGCAGCAGTACTGGAACGCACTGTACTATAACTCCGGTTGAGAGATGAGAGATACAAAAAGGTCCATATAACTTGAGTGGAATGATGATGATGTTTGATGAGGTTGTCGATCTTGACCTATTGATTAGGGGAAATGTTTATCCATAGGTTGATGCCAAGAATCAGGTGCACCCGGCCCCACTTAATCTAATGCTAACCGTATACGGCTAATACATTATGTATTTACTACTTAATTCAATATGTGCACGTGACGGTATTCCCTATCTTATCGCGCCAATCCACCCTTACGCTAAGCTACATTTGGCAATTTTATTACTGTATTAGGAAAGTTGATTACTATATGTAGTTTAGCGTCAAATTTACAACAATGCGGGTAAACTTCCCGCGTCCAACTGTCCCTATTTTAGGGTTGACTGAGAACATCTCATAATGTTGCACCTCGCTTTCTCTGCACTCCTAGAGACACCGTTCTCTTTCGAGCATTAGGACAGATTCAATTGTACAGATGCCGGCATCTACGTCACAACGCCATTGCGCGTTCGTTTTGGCTGCTCTTCTTCTTCTGGTTTATTCAGGAGCGGCTGAAGGTTCATACAAAGGAACCTCTGTCGGAGAGCTCACAGCTCCCGAGATTGAAATCAAGTTGCAAGTACGGACTCGATATCCCATGAGCTGGTGAAAAAGATAAATAGGTCACTCGGGTTTTATAGCTGAATGAATAATTGAACTAGGAATGCCCTCTCGTTCGGGAACTGAACGCGCATAAACTTGCGACCAGCCCTGAAACCGCCAGCTTCACCTCCCAAATATTTGCTGTGCTCTTCCCTGGCAGTCCAGCAGTCAACGCTATATTAGCTACATTTTACATCTCAGGACCACCTAGTGCGCTCCGTGTATATGGAATCTGGCCCAAACTCGCACTAACAAATACTATCAGATTTCCTCCTTGCATTATGTCCCCCAAACATCGACCCTTCCTCACTTTCTGTAATGGTTGCATTTGCGGTAGGCGGGCTCCTCGGTGACACTCTCTTTCATCTTCTGCCGGAGATTTTCTTAGGCGAAGATTCACCAGAACATGTCCGTTTCGTCCTCGTTGAACCAAATAAAAACTTGCTCCTGGGGCTTGCTATCCTTGTAGGATTCTTGACTTTTGTGGCCATGGACAAGGCAATCCGTATCGCTACTAGGGAGGGGAGTGGGCATGATAATAGCCACACCCACATGCATGTAGTAGAAGATAGCGTCGCAATAGCCTCTAGCTCCACAACCGCCAACGGGAACCCCCAAGGCGAGCTAAAGAAGCGCAAGAGAGACACGAAAACTGAAAACACCAGCATGTCGAATAATGGGGATGAGAAGGAAATAAGCCCTAGCGTCAAGCTAGGCGGGTATCTAAATTTAATCGCAGATTTCACACATAACATTACCGATGGTCTGGCCATATCCTCATCTTTCTACGCCTCACCAACCATCGGCGCAACAACTACCGTCGCCGTTTTCTTCCACGAAATTCCCCATGAGGTTGGAGACTTTGCCCTTCTCATCCAATCGGGGTTTTCCAAGCGGAAAGCCATGGGTGCGCAATTCGTCACTGCCGTTGGAGCATTTCTAGGAACTTTCATTGGCATTGCTGTTCAGGAGTTTGGCAATAGAGATGGAGCAGGAGTCACCTCAGACCCTGGCGCGATGTCGTTGCCGGCCGGAATCCTTGGCACAAGTTTAGCAGTGGGAGATCTGCTGCTTCCCTTCACTGCGGGAACATTTTTATACGTGGGCACAGTTGCGGTTATTCCTGAATTATTGGAGACGGGCAAGAATAAAGGGGAGGAGTTGAGGAAAACGGCAACGCAATTTGCTGCCATGGCAGCTGGAGCCGGGGTTATGCTTTGGTAAGTTTGATTGTGGGACTGTGTGCCAGTCTCTATTGCTTCTTACCAAGTTTTTTATGCCTAGGATATCATGGTCGTGAACAAGGACTACCCCCTGGAATCGACACGAAGAAATACCAGAGTGAGGGGAAACACGATAGTTAAGCTTCCTCCCATTATGAAATAGCACCGTTATTAAACTAAATTTCACGTCAATTTTGATCTACACTTGTCTAAATTGGACCTGGGAAAACGCCTCGGATTCCGTGTACGGAACCAGCGACTGTATATGAACGGTATGACTATGAATTTGAATTCATGAACCCGAATTTCTGGTTATTGTGTTAAAGAATATTCTAGATGACTTCAATCTTATTCGACTCGGTTCTCTAGGGTGAATAACAAAGCCCCGTCCCGCGTTAAAAGCCTTCAACCGGCACTTCGGTGGGATTACATTAATCGATCCAAGGGAGAGATATGCGGTATATCGCTCTCTTTAGATTCTGTTAACCCATTTTGCAAACCTGGAAGCTCTTCAGCAGTGCAGAACAAAATAGCTCTTCGACATAGACCTGAGATTCAGGACAGAGAGATGTATCAATGTGAACGGTGATAATTTCCTCGGAAATAGAAGTCTATTGGAAGTAACATCCACGGCCGTCCTCTCAGCTTGGTGCTCCAAGGTATATACATAGCAAAAAGCAAATTGAGTAGAAAGCAAAATGAGTAAATTAGAAGGCGGAGAAGAAATATATATATCAACGCCGAGCCAGCGCGTAGTCAATACAAGAAGTTTGAACCGTAAAACGATCCATGTATGGTATAATAGAGAAAACGAAAGACAAAGGGCACTTTATGTTTTAACACCTTAAAAGTATTGCACTGTGAGAATTACAGTTAACAAAAAGACCTCCTCCAATAAGAAAAAAAATTCAGCAGGTAGTAAATTATTAAATACGCAAAATGCAACGGAAAAATGATGTTGAAAAACACCACGACGATGAGTAAGAAATTGGGAGACGAATGAAAAGCTGTTCACTCATTATAATGGTACACCTGTGAAGAAAGCTATGTATTAGCAAAATGTGCTGCTGCATACGGTAATAATGTGTTCATTATATGAACAGTGGCTGGAAATGAGGAAACTCACGAAATAATTCGGCAATCCAAAGCATTGCCACC